TAACCGACACGCTACAAACTCATGCTAACTTCGAAATCCAATCGGTCACCGCTAAGGGACCATTTGAGTTTCCTGGCCACAACATGGCGGCCCTTTCTAATGTGGGTAGTCCAGAAGTCACATCTCGCGCGCGCGGGCGCGTTGTACGCTAAGCCACGTGACGGACATGCTACAAGCCCATGTTAACTCGGAATGCAATCAGTCACCGTTAATTGGCCAATTAGATTTTCGATGTCAACATGGTGGCCGTTGTACGGTGGAAAAAATACAGAGTTCACAGCTAGCGCGCGCGTGGGCGACGTGTACGCTGAGCCACCTGGCCGATACGCGACAACCCCCATGTTAACTCGGAAGTTCAATCGGTTACTGCGGAGGGGCCACTTGAGCTTCCATGCCAACATAAAGGGCCCGATATTGCGGGTAGTACGGCTTTCAGAGCTCGCACGCGCCGGGGGGGGGGGCGCGCGCGCGGGCGCTATGTGCGTTCAGCCACATGCTACAAGCCCATGTGAACTCGGAATTCCAATCGGTCACCGCTCAGGGGCCACATGAGTTTCCAGGAGACAGCGGCCCGTCTATTGTGGGTAGTGCAGGATGCACAGCCCGCGCGGGCGCGTGCGCGCGTTGTGCGCTGAGCCACTTGGCCGACATGCAACAACCCCATGTTAACTTGGAAATCCACTCGGCCACCGCCGCGGGGCCGCTTGAATTGCCAGGCCAGCACGGCGGTCCTCTGTCGTGGACGATACAGAGTTCACAGCTCGCGCCCGCGCGCGCGGGCGCTTTGTACGCTGAGCTACTTGGCCAACATGGCACAACCACATGCTAACTAGCATATTCAATCTTCTACCGCAACGGGCAACTTTTAGTTTCCAAGCAAACGTAGCGGCCCTTCTGGTGTGGATAGTTCGTAAGTCACTGCTCGCGCGCGCGCGTGGGCGTCCTTTACGCTGAGCCACTTGTGCGACATGCTACAACCCCATGTTAAATTGAAAATCCAGTCGGCCATCGCTAGAGAGCCACTTGCGTTTCCAAGCCAATACGGCAGCCCTTCTGTTGTGAGCGATGCAGAGGTCACAACTCGCGCCCGCGCGTGCGCGCGGGTGCGTTGTACGCTGAGCAACTTGGCCGACATGCGGCAACCCTAGGTAAACTGGGAAAACCAATCGGCCACCGCTAAGGGGCCACTATGGATTCCAGACCAACATGACGGCCACTCTATTGCGTGCAATAAAGAATTTACAGCTTAATCGGCACGCTGCGAACTCATGGTTACTCGGAAATCGAATCAGCCAACGATAGGATTGCACTTCAGTTTCCAGGCAATCGTGGCGGCCCTTTTATTATGGATAACCAAGTGATCCAGAAGTCGCAACTCGCGCGCGCGCGGGTGGGTGCGTTGAGCGCTGGACCACTTGGCCAACGTGCCACAAACCAGTGCTAACCTGGAAATCAATCCGGGGTTCCAAGCCAACGCGGCGGCCCTTCTACTTTGGATCAGGGTTCGCAGCTCGCGCCCGCGCGCGCGGGCGCGTTGCGCGCTGAGCCACTTGGCTGACATGCTGGAAGCCACCGCAAAGGGGCTACTTGAGTGTGCAGGCCAACATGGCGGCCCTTCTACTGCGGGTAATACGAAAATTCACAACTCGCGCGCGCGCGGGCGCGCGCGAGGCGCCTTGCACGCTGGGCAACTTGGCCGACATGCTACAAACCCATGTTTAACATGGAAAATACCATCGGCCACCGCTAAGGTGCCACTTGAGTTCTCAGGCCAACGTGGCGGCATTTGCATTGCGGAGAATACAGGGTTCACAGCTCGCGCCTGCGCGCACAGGCGCGGGCGCTCTGTGCGCTGCACAACTTAACCGGCATGCTACGACCTTTTGTTAACTTGGAAGTCCGTCGGTTACTGCTGAGGGGCCACTTAAGTTTCTAAGCAAACATGGCGGCCATTCTATTGTTGGTGATACAGAATTCAACGCTCGCGCGCGCGAGCGCAAGCGGGCGCGCGCGCGCGTGGGCCCGTTGTACGCTGAACCATTTAACCAAAACGCTACAAACTCGAGCTATCTCGGATATTCAATCGGTCACCGCTAATGGGCCGCTTGATTTCCAAGGCCAGCATGGCGGCCCTGCTATTGCGGGTAGAACTCACAGCTCGCGCGCGCGCGTGGGCGCGCTGTGCGCTGAGACACTTGGCCGACGCTCTAGAAGCCCATGTTAAATTGGAAAAAGAAATCGGCCACCACTAAGGGGCTGCTTGAACTCCGAAGCCACCATGGCGGCCCTTCTGTTCTGGATAACGCAGAGCGGCGGCTCGCTCCCGCGCGCGCGGGCGACTTGTGCGCTGAGCCACTTGGCCGACATGCTACATCCCCATGTCAATTTGACAATCCAGCCGGTCACCGCTGGGGGGCCACTTTAGTTCCCAGGACAGCACGACTGCCCTTCTTTGGTGGATAACACAGAATTCACAGCTCGCGCCCGCGCGCGCGCGTGGGCGCGTTGCGCGCTGAGCCACTTCACCGACGCGCTACAAACCCATGGTGAATCGGAAATCCAATCGGTCTCCGCTAGGGGACCACTTGAGCGCCCATGCCAACATTGCGGCACTTCTATTATAAATGATACAGAATTCACAGCTCGCGCCGGCGCGCGCGCGGGCGCGTTGCGCGCTGAGCCACTTGGCTGGCGCGCTGCAGCCCCGCGCTACCTGGAACACCCATTCGGTCACCGCCCAAGAACCCCTTCGTTTCCAGGCCCCTTCGTTGCCAGACCGCTGAGAACAATGCAGAAATCACACCTCGCGCGCACGCGCGCGTGCGCGTTGTACGCTCGTCCTCCTCCTCCTCCTCCTCCTCCTCCTCCTCCTCCTCCTTTCCTCCTCCTCCTCTTCCTCGCCCAATCCTCCTCCTCTTTCTCCTCCTTTCCTCCTCCTCCTCCTCCTCATCCCCCTCCTCCTTCTCCTCCCCCTCCTCTTCCTCCTCCTCCCCCCCAAAGCTTGCGCAGTCAATGTCATCATACTTCTGCTCGCCCCTTTCCTGCTTCTCCCGTCGCTCCCCCCTTCTTCCTTTTAGTCCTCGTCCTCCTCGTGTTCCCCCCCCCCGCCTCCCCCTCCCCCGCCTCCTCATCATTCTTCTGCGCCCTGCCTGTTTCGGCAAGGGCCGCGAATGTGCATTCGCGCCCGGGCGTGCCCAGGCTGACCCACGAAATTCAGTTTGACGGCTTCCCCATCAATTTCTCTTCGTTACACGGAATGTTCCCGCACTTCCCAGATCAAGACATTTCGCCTGGGTACTATTGCTGGGTGGACCGTGATGGATACGAACAGTAACGAAACCAACTACGCGATCAACCGCGAATGAAACTACACACGGAACTCCCCACAAACATGTTTCGCACGTGGCGTTCATCGTGCAACAGCACTTCCAGAAGGGCGAAAGAGGCGAAGCCTTCCCACAATAAAATCACGATTTCTGAATTCAAGCACACACAGTCCTTCAGGGCAAAAACAACAACAAACAATAATTCTGGATTTTCCAAACCATGCCTTCGGACAAAAACGTAATTTTAAATATTACATTTTAGTTGTGCCCCCCGGCCTGGCTGTTAGCGTTTTTGGGTGGCCCCCCCTTCCTGTAGACGGCCCCCTCACTAACGCATTCCTAATTCCATAGGTTTCCGCGTTTTCGGGGGTCCTAGGTTCCAGGGTTCTTCAGGTCCTGAGCACTTGGATGTCTGGCTTCGGTCAAACAAGCTCCCCAGACGGTCCAAGAGGACTTTAAGAGAGCCCCAAAGCGGCCGCGACAGGCTGCCAAGGCAGCCTCCGAAGAGGCCAGACGGCGCAATTGCGCCCGCAAAGGGGTCAAGACCCGCCCCCCTGGCCCGAAGGCCCCAAAGAGGCCCCAAAGAGGACAGAAGACGCTCCATGGAGGCCTCCAGGTGGCCCCAGCATGCAAGGGAAGGATCCTGCTTCAGAGTTGTTGCTGCCCTCCGCGGAAATGCACCAGCATGGGAGACAGATATTCCGTCGCCAGTGAGGATGAACGACCGACCAACTCCAGATTTGGCGCGGCGGTCGGAGCGTGTCATCGAATGTCAACGAGTTCCATGGGAGATGGGCGCACGAGCAGGGATACCTAGACGTACTAGTGCGACTGCGGCGTGCAAGGGCAGGCGTACGAGTACGGCTACGTAGGCCTGCTTGTACGACGGCGGAGTGCAGGGACAGGCCCGCGGTCGTACTAGCAGGACGAGATAGGTCTACTAGTACGACAGCGGGGTGCAGGGGCGTGCGTACCAGTACTGCTACTTCGTCCTACTAGTACGGCGGCGGCGTGCGGGCTTGGGCGTACGAGTACGGCTACCTACGGCTACTGGTACGACTGCGAAGTGCACGGCCGAGCCTACTAATACGACTACTTCCTCCTACCAGTACGACTGGGGCGATCGTATTAGTAGGAAGAAATCGGCCTACTAGTACGACAGCGGAGTGCAGGGGTGTGCGTACTAGTACGGCTACTTCGTCCTACCAATACGGCGGCGGTGTGCGGGGTCCGGCTTACGAGTACGGCTACGTACGGCTACTAGTACGCGACTGCGACGTACACGGCCGAGCGCACTAGTAGACCTACGTCGTTCTACGAATACGCCCCGCGGTCGTACTAGGAGGACAAAGTAGGGCTACTAGTACGACCACGGCCGAGCGAACTAGTGGGCCTACGTCGTTTTACTAGTACGCCCCGCGACCGTACTAGTAGAACGAATTAGGCTACGAGTACGACGACCGGGCAGAGCAAGGCCGTTCTGTCACCACCACAGGAAGTGGGTGGGGGTCCTCCTCTTCCTCTTTCTCCTCTTTCTCATCCTCCTCCTCCTCCTCCTCCTCCTGCTCCTCCTCCTCCTCCTCCTCCTCTTCCTCCCCCCCGCTCCTCCTCCCCCCTATGTCAAGACGGAGGCCTCCCACCGGGAGCTTTCTCGGCCCGGCCAAGGGGGGAGGCCTGAGGTGCTCGATCTGACCCGTGGCGTCCGCCAGCTGTTTCTTCAGCCTGCCCAGAGCCGCACCCTCGGCCTCGGGGGATCGGCGGGCCGCGGAGAGGCGAGGCCGAGGAGGAGGAGGAGGCCGAGGAGAAGGCCGAGGAACGAGGGGAAGGAACAGAAAGAGGAACGGGGGGGAAAGACGAACAGAAAAAGCGAGGGGGAGGAACGAGGGGGAGGCAAAGAAAAAAGGAACAGAAAGAGAGAAACATAAAGAGGAATATAACGAACAGAAGGGAGGAGGAGCAAAAGGATGAGGCGGACGAGGTGGGATGATACGATTGCCAGAATAAGGTTACTGGAGAAAAGCCCCAGTTACTGGATATCCTGACACGTTCGCGAGTTCTCCACGCTTGCCCGCCTTGGCATGTTGCTTGACTAGTTGCTTCCTGCTGGGCAACTTATGCCTCCAGGACCTACCAGCTACGACCCAGCTGCTCGGATACCCAACACGCAGCACGCAGCGTTTTGAGACGGAGCTCCACACATAGACTGAATACGTAGGTCTAGCGTGACACGTTCACCAAGCCGTGGACAAACACGTTCCGAACCAACACTTGCCGAACCAACGCGCAGCGTTACAACACGGACGCTTTGAACCCGGTACGTGCTGCGTTCCATCACGGTCGTATCGAAACCGCCAAGATATACGATCTCTGATCTATTCTCTTTCTTTCTATATATATATATACACACATAACAGCATGAAAAGGCCGAACGGTCATTCATTGTCCCTGCGTGCGTAGCAAAATGAAGAATTCGTAGTGGGAGCTCTGTTTGTTGCGGTGTTGTTGAACTCTCATTTCTTGAAAATAAAAATTGCTAATCCCGCCTCACCGGTGCATGCTGTTTTTCTCCATCAAAATGTGCCCCTCGACGCTCGCACCCTGTTTTTTGACAGGGAAAGTCTTGGAGCTCAAACTGGCCCCTGGCCCCCCGGATTACAATAACAACGGCTCCCGCCGGAGACTTCCTCTTAATTTACTCAGGACCCCCGCTCCCGCCTGAGACTTCCTGACAATTTACTCAAGATCGGTGTTCCCGCTTGTGACTTCCTCGCAATTTCGTCAGGACCCCCGCTCCCACCTGAGATTTCCTCACACGTTACTCAAGAACGGCGCTCCCGCTTGAGACTTCTTCGCAATTCAATCAAGACCGCCTCGCAATTTAATCAAGACCCCCGCTCCCGCCAGAGAGCCCCTATACATGTTATGCAGGAGTTGCGCTCTCGCCTGTGACTGCCATGCAATGTATTCCAAATTCGCGCTTTCGACGCTCAGGAAACACGCTGCGCCAAGACCGCCGTCACAATTTGTTTAGGAATCGCGATCTCGCCATACTCAAACATCCCGCTTGAATGTCCCACCCGCCCGACCCGACAGTCAGGGGATCGCCCGCCCGTCGTGGGCTCCCGCCCGGGACTTCCTTCAGGATCGGCGCTTTCGCCTGGGATTTCCTCGAAGGTTCACGCTCTTACCTTCCTGCTCCTCCTCCCTTTTTTCCCTCCTCCCTCGCACGTAGCATCGGAATGCGTTCATCAGTCGCACAACTCTGCCTGCTGCAGCAACTGCGCCCTTGCGGCACGTGCGCACGAAGAAAGATCCAGAGGCAACGAGCGTGCATGACTGCGGATCTTGTACATGTGGACTGCAATGATGAGCCTCTGGCACGCCAAGTCAAACTCCTCATCGGTGAGAGACCTTGCCAGGCCTAGGCGATGGTCAAGAAAGTATGGCATCGGGCGGTCAGGGAACCAGGCCTGGTGAATTGCTCCCCACAAATAGGGGCAGGAAAAGTAAAAGGCCTGGTCATCCTTCTCGCCTTTGCAGCCAAAAATACACTGGCGGTCCACGTGCGCCATCCTGCGTTCCGTCACCCACTCTCCCCCCAGAATTTTGAACACGGACATCTGCCAGGACGGGGGCGCGTCCTCGAGTCGGGGGCGTAGGCGAGACCACGAGATCCCACGGACTGCCCGTTCCGACGGAGGACGACCGGCCCAATAACATATATGCATCTTAAAAAGGTTTCCTCGATCAGGTCAGGATACAACTCCGCCCCAAGAGTGCGAGCAAAGACCTTTTGGATCTTGGCACGAGGGGTCTCACCCCCCTCTTCGTTCCTTGTCTCCTGGCGTTTTCCCTATTTCTTCGTCCGTGGCCCTCCCTTCCTCGCTCGCCCTCGTTCTCTCCCTCCTGTTTTTTGTAGGGCCCACGCCAATTCCAATGGCGGGTGCATTTACGCCCACGAAGGATTGTCCGCCCGTTCAGGTTTGCCCGCCTGTCTAAGCCCGCCGCCCCCCGCAAAGAGAAAGAATCCCCCAAAGGGGGTGTGATCGAAGACAAAAAGGGCGGGTATCGAGGGTGTGGGGAACTCGTTTAGAATGACACATGGACAAATAAGAGCGAGCAGTCTTATAACTATTGCTGTTGTTTGTTTTTGTTGAAGAGCTGTCGCTTCAGACGAATACTTATTGTTGATCCTCCCATCACCGAGGCATGCTGTTTCTTCTCAATCAAAGTGTGCCCCTCGACGCTCGCACCCTGCTTTTTTGACAGGGGACGTCTAAGAACTCAAACTGCGCCCCTGGCCCCCCAAATTACAACAGCGACAGCTCCCGCCGGAGACTTCCACCAAATTTACTCAGGACCCCCGCTCCCGCCTGAGACTTCCTGACAATTCACTCAGGATCGGTGTTGCCGCCTGCGATTTCCTTGCAATTTCGCCAGGACACCCGCTCCCATCTGAGACTTCCTCACACGTTACTCAAGAAAGGCGCTCCTGCTTGAGACTTCTTCGCGGTTGAATCAAAAGTTCCTCGCAATTTAATCAAGACCCCCGCTCCCGTCAGAGAACTCACTCACATGTTATGCATGAGTTGCGTTCTCGCCTGTGACTTCCATGCAATGTACTCAAAAATCGCGCTTTCGACGCTCAGGAAACACGCTGCGCCAAGGACGCCGTCACAATTTGTTTAGGAATCGCGCTCTCGCCATACTCAGGCATCCCGCTTGAATATCCCACCCGCCCGACCCTCCAGCACTCCAGCAGATTGGACGTGCCACAAAACTGCGCGCCGTGCCTCAGCCTGGGCCGCGCCCCTGTCCCCACGAGGCGGCGTCGGCGACGTCGCCTCGGGCGTGCCGTAGAGCTCGTTCCCGGAGGCGATGCACTCATCAGCCCTCGCGCCCATGGCGCGCCGCCGGCGAAGGCGCTGACATATGAGAAAGGTGCGAGGCGTCTGGCGCCGCCTCGGCAAAATTCGGGAGCGGGAACAGCGCTCCCTGGGCGCGTCATGAGGTTCCCGCGGCATGGGCTGCCGCCAGGCAGTCCTTGCCGTCCTTGGCCCTGCCCTTGGCCCTCGCGATCGTCTTCTCCCTCGCCTCGCGCGCCTCCTTCGCGATGGCGCACTCCTGCTTGAGCTGGTCTGCCACGTGCGCCGACAGGCTCGGCGCGTTGGCTGCGCCGCCAGCCCTGCGACTCCACCCCGTGAACTGGTCGGCCGCGCTGTAGTCAGGTTGACTCGGCGAGATGCGGTGGGCCTCCGTGGTTAGCCCATCCTGCGCGCCAGGAGCTCCAAGCACATCGGCGACGGGCAATTGAGCTGGCCCTGCATCACAGCCGCGTCGAGGACGCGACTCAACACCTCATGCTCGTAGACACTACTGTCACCTGCTGGCACCTTCCTTCGACAGCCCGGCTCAGTTCTCGTGCGCGTGGAAGGCACGTACTTCATGTACCGAATCCTCCGACGAACTGGCAGCGGCATCATCCCATGTCCTGCGACTTTCTCCCTGGGCGTCCATCTTCACGGCCGTCGCGCGACCAAGCCCGCGCGCCAGCACCAGGGCGTCGGGCGGAGAAAGCTGCGCCACGCTCCGCGACTGCCCCCCCGCCTGCACGATGGCCCTGCCCCCCATCACCGCCGAGCCCGCAGGCAGCTGGTGGCGCACAAGGTCGCCCGCCGCATATCGCGCACGGTTCTCCGGCGCGTACCAGCTCAAGCCAGCATGGGGCACCAGCATGGCACCTGCCGCAGGCGCCGCTGCGCCCGCAGCTCCGACCAGCAGGCGGGATGCCCAGCGCGGGGCATGCCGCCGCGCCGATCGCCGCCGCCACGGGCGCCCCGCCAGGCGCGATCAAGCCACCCACCTCAGCAACGGGGCTGGCAACGCCTGGGGCCGCCATCGCATCGCCGGCGCCGGCAGGCAGAACCGCGCCACCGCCAGGGGCACCGCCTCCAGCAGCTCCAGCGACTCCGCCCGCGGCTCGTGCGCCAGGCGGCTGGGCGACGTAGAGCGCCAGCGGCAGCGGCACACAGCCCGCGCCCAGCGCGTGGGCGCCCAGCCCAGCGTAGGCACCGACCAACGGCTGCGGAGGCGCCGCAGGGAAGCCATAGATGTTCGCGGCCGCGATCCCCGGCTGCACCTCCGTCGCACGCGTGAGCACTATGACGTCGCTGAAGTCGGCGCCCACCGCGAAGGTAGTGGTCGCGGTCGGGCGTGAGCCCATACGCCACGCTGGTCCCAGGCCGCACCGCCAACACCAGCCTCGCGTGATATACCGCGGGCCCAAGGACGCCACGATACCTCACCAGGAGGAAGTCCCCGGGGCTGAAAGCGGCCATCACGTTTGCCGCGCTACCGAGCGACCCCTGACGAAACTCAGCTGCGCACGGGCCTGCTCCTCGGAAGTCAGCTGCGGCGCCTCTCTCTCTCAAGCCTGGGCCTGAGGACGAGGAGGGGCCGTCCCGCGTGTCGGCAACCACCAATCAGCGCCCGTCACGTAGGTCGCCACCGGCAAGAGAGTGAGCAGCGCCGCGGCTCCCGCGACCGCCAACAGCGAGGGCGCGCCGCACACGCAGGTCGCCGCGGGCGGCGGCGGGCGAGCACTCGGGGCAAGGAGCAATGCCTCCCCACAGCGCCCGCCCCGTGCTGATCCCGCGCGCGAGTTCGAGAACGAAAGCGCGGGCGACTTGCTCATTGCCAGAAAAACTTGAGCCATCGTTTCCATGGAACGGATCGATGCCCTTCAAGACGGCGAGGTTCTCAACCCGCAGACAACATCCCAGGACAAACACATCCATACATCTATATATATATATACACATGTTTAGGTTTACGTTTATGTTTATGTTTATGTATATGTATATGTATATGTAGATGTACATGAATATGTATATGTATATGCATATGTCTATATGTACACACAGGCCAACGCTGACGCGCAACAGTAGTTGTTTCCCGTCTGTGCGTGCAAGCTATGCGGTGAAGGCTATGTAGAATAAGCTGTGTGATGTGAGCGATGGGCGTTGACGGTACGCGGCGTAAGACATGTGGTACAAGCTACGTCGTGTAATATACCTCATGGGCAACATTTCGGGTGATAATGCGGTTGGGGAGCTTGACGATATGTTTGACGCGCATTGTACACACACAAAACTTCGGGAGTGCACGCACATCAGGACATCAATATGCCAGTTCATATATATATATATATATATATGTATGTATCGATGTTGATTTATTTGCACCGCCATATATATATATATATATGGCTTTCCATGCACATGGAAAATATGAAATTATCGGCAAGCGTACGTAAAATTCGTCCTGCGCGCTGCCATTCGATATGTCTATACATACATATCGAATTTCCTGCCTCACACCCGATCAGTCTATACGTGTAACCTACATGTCGGCGGCAACATCGATATACCGATTTCGTTATCATTCTGCCTGTGTCGGCTATGATCTGCCAGGACAACCACCAGGGCATGCATCGGGACAAGCATTGGGACAACCATCGGGGCTCCCGGTATGTCTGTCCATATATCTACCCATATGCCTCTCACTATACATACACATGCAGATGCACATTGCCCACACATGTGAATGTCTATCCCAGTCTGTATACCAATCGACATGTATGTATAGGTCTCTCCGACTCTCTCCATATTTCAGCCTTCATGTATGTCTCACTGTCTCTCATGCCTGTACGTAGGTCGCAATACTTGAACATTCTGGCCCGCAGGACGCCTGCCTTTTTGTATTCTAACCTCGTAGACCGCATGCTGTGTCTCATGGCCTCGCAGATGGCATGTTTTGGTACTCTGGCCTCGCAGAACTATCGGGACAACCATCGCGGTAAACATCGGGACAATCATCGGGAACACCGTCGGGACAACAATCGGGACAACCATCGGAACAACCATCGGGCCAACCATCCGGACAACCATGGAGAAAACTATCGGGACAACCTTCGGGACAACCATCGGGACAGCCATCGGGACAACCAACCGCGACCCAACGCCCTGGCCGAGGCGACTCAACCCCTCGTGCCTGGTAGGATGTTCCGGCGATTCCGAAGAGGTGTGGTCCGCAAAGGGCGCGGTTTGCAACGGGCAGCCTTGGAAGCACCTTGGGGGGCGGGCGGGGATCTTGATAGAGTTCTCCGCCGCGCCTCGAGGAGGCCCGACGAGGAGCGTCGTGCCTCCCAGACCCCAACGGCGCCGATCGCAAACCACACCCCGGCGTAACAATACCCTTTGTAGCCGCCAGGATGTATTGGCGGCGCTCACAAGGAGGTACGGTATGGGGGATGGGGGAGGGCTTCTTAGAAAGAGGCTGCTTCTTAGAAGGCGCAGGCCTTGTATCTACAGATAATGCCCGTGCCTTCTGAGAAGCACGGGCGCTTCTCAAAAGCCCTCCCCCCTTCCCCTCCCCCCGCTGCGCGTGGCTGCAAGTGTGGGGAGAAGAAGCGCGCGCCCTTCGTGCACCTCGGGGACCTTCGGTGCCAGTTCAGAGGCCGCTGCGGGGCCCCCCTTCTGCAATCCTCGGCCCCCCGACGGTTGACTTGAGCAAGAAAAGCTGCGCACGGCCGCGTTGAAGGAGCTGAGCATGGGGGACACGGGCCCCGCGGGTCCTGGACCCTGGGGCCTCTCCCAAGGGCGAGTTTCTTCGTCCTGAGGCGTTTTCCGACGGCCCCGGGGCCCCAGGAGTGGAGGGCCCCGGGAGGCCGATGATGATGTGGGCCCCGGGACCCGAGTTACCCCTGATGATGTGGGGCTCTGGACGCCCGCATTCTCCCGGGTATCTCGGGCCCGGGGTAACTCGGGCTCGGAATCCCGAAAAGCGGACCCGAGTTACCCCTGATGATTCGGGGCTCTGACTTCCCCCGCGGCAGGGGAGCGAGGAGCTGCGCCCTCCGCCTCCAGGCGGGCGGCCGGGCCCTGGCCGGCAAGCAGCGTGGGGCGCGGCGGGCCAGCCTCTCGGGATGGGGGGGGCGGACGGGCCTCGCCCCGCCCAGAGGGACCCCTGAGCAGTACCTGCCGCGGGCACGGAGAGGACATGGTGACTCCCCTCGGCCTCCACCTCCTCCTTCTCCCCCTCCTCCTGCGTCCTCCTCCCACCTCTCTCCTCCTGCTAGTTTTCTGCTGCTGCTCCTCCTCCCCCTCCGCCTCCTCCTCCTCCTCCTCCTCCTCCTCCTCCTCCTCCTCGTCCTTCCTCCTCCCCCTCCTCGTCCACCTGCTCCTCCTGCTGCTCCAGCTCTTCGTGTTCATCCTGCTCCTCCTGCCTCCTCCTCCCTCCTCCTCCTCCTCCTCCTCTCCTCCTCCTCCTACTCCTACTCCTACTCCTACTCCTACTCCTACTTCTCCTCCTCCTCCTCCTCCTCCTCCTCCTCCTCCGCCTCCTGCTCCTCCTCCTCCTCCTCCTCCTCCTCCTCCTCCTCTTCCTCCTCCGCCTCCTCCTCCTGCTCAGCCTCCTCCCTTCCCCCGAGACATGGGCGATATAATTGTTGTCACGCCAGGCGTGCTCGCCCAGCTTCGGGCACTGGGGCCATCACAGCTCGATCCAGCTCGAAATATGCCGCAGAAAGATTGGGTCTAGGGCGCTGGTCGTGTTTGGTTCGCGATGCTGCATCTTTTTCGCAACGTCGGATCTCAGGGTCCTCCCCCGCCTCCCCTCCCCGTTCCTCCCCCTCCTCAGCCCGATCCAGCCTCCTGCCAGTCCTGGACGGGAGGAACGGGATAAGAGAAATACTGATGCGGAGGAGGACGAGGAGGCGACGAGGAGGGACATCTCCACGCCCTCTGCGCCCCGCCTCCTCTTCCTCCTATTCCTCCTCCTCCTCCTCCTCCTCCTCCTCTTCCTCCTCCTCCGCCTGCCTCAAATTCCCCTCCTCACACACCTGCATGCCCATGATACTTACCCTCCCCCTCCTCCTGCGCCTCCTTCTCCGAACCACATCCACAACCACCACCACAATGATCACCATCACCATGACGGCCCCGTTCATCATCATCATCATCATCATCATCATCATCATCATCATCATCATCAGCATCATCATCATCATCACCATCATCATCATCATCATCATCATCATCATCGTCACCATCATCAACATCATCATCAACAGCATCATCAGCATCATCAACATCATCATCATCAGCATCATCAACATAATCAGCATCGTCATCATCATCACCATACTCATCATCGTACTCATCAGTACCAGCATCATCATCATAATCTTCATCCACACCATCGTCATCGTCATCGTAATCATCAGCATCGTCATCATCATTACCAACATTAGCGTGAGCATCGTCATCATCATCATCGCCAGCAGCATCATCAGCATCATACTCATCAACATCATGATCGTCATCATGAGCATCATCATCATCCGCAGCATAATCAGCATCCTGACCCTCCTCCCCATCGCTACCATCAATAACATCATCAGCACGATCATTGACATGGCCCACATAACCCTCATACTATCAATCATCGCCGTCATCATACTCGCCATCCTCGTCATCATCATCGTCACCGTCACCACCAATGCTGCCTTCATCAGTACCCTCACCACCATCATCATCAGCATCATCATCAGCACCATCATCATTACCAGCATCGTCACCATCATCATTATCCTCATCGCTCGTATTCGAAGTGATACCAGCAGTAGCAATGTCATCACCATGCTCCTCCTCCTCCTCCTCCTCAGCATCATCATCATCAGTATCATGAACATCACCAGCAGCAACCACATCAACATCAGCATCACCACCATCACCACCACTACCACCATCACCACCATCATCACCACAATCAGCATAACAATTACCATCATCATCACAATCGTCATCATCACCATTATGATCATCACTGTCATCACCATCATCGTGACCAGCATCAGCATCAACACCATCACCAGCATCATCAGACATCACCACCACCAGCATCATCACAGGGACCGCCGCCATCATAATCAAGGTCCTCAGCATCATCAGAATCACGACCACCATCATCATCTTCACCATCATCATCTTCACCATCATCATCATCATCATCATCATCATCATCATCATCATCATCCCATCGTCATCCGGATCCTGATCCTCATCATCCTCCTCATCCTGGTCCTCATCATATTCACCAGCATCATCATCATCATCAGCATCATCATGATTATCCTCATAGGCATATCATCATTATCACAGTAATCATCATCAGCAGCATCATCGTCATCATCGTCATCATCGTCCTCCTCCTCCTCTTCCTCCTCCTCAATCACCAACATCACCAACTCCATCGTCATTAAACCCTCGCTCCCTCCCACCCTCCCGCCTCTCCTTCCCCCCTCCCCCTCCCGTTCCTGACCCCTCGCTCGCCCTCGCGCCTCCCCCGTCGCCCTCCCCGTCCCCGCACCAGAAAAGGCGCGGCGGGCGCCGCGCCCGGTTGCATCCCCAGCCGGCCTCGGCCGCCGGTTCCGGCAGCGGGGCGCCCTCGGGGGAGGAGAGGGGGAGGAGGACGAGGCCTGGTCGGGAAGTAGCCAAGAAGAAGACAAATGATGATGATGAGGAGGAGGAGAAGGAGGAGAAGGAGGAGAAGGAGGAGAAGGAGGAGAAGGAGGAGGGGGAGGAGGAGGAGGAGGGGGAGGAATGGGGAGGCGCGAGGGAGAATCAGGAGTAGGAGGAGGAAGAGGAGGAGGAGGAGGAGGAGGGGGAGGAGGAGGGGAAGGAAGGGGAGAGGAGGAAGAAAAAAGGAGAGGGAGAACGGGAGGATAACGAGGAGAACGAGGAGGAGGAGGAGGAGTAGGAAGAGGAGGAGGAGGAAGGAGGTTGGTGAGGGGCGGGGGAGGAAAGGGGGGAGGAGGAATGGAGGGAAGGTCAAGGAGGGGGGGGGAACCCAGGAGGAGGGAGGAGGAAAAGGAGGAGGAGGAGGAGGAACGGCCCCTAGCTACCCCATCCCTGCCGCATTTTCCCCCCACCCCCAACCTTCTTCCTCCTCCCCCTCCTCCTGTGTTCCTCCTCCCCCTCCTGACCCTCCCTCCCTTGCTCGTCTCGCCATTTCCTGACTCGCTCATCTACGCCCCTCTTGTACCCCTCCTTTCTGACGTTGGGCCGACTTCAAGTGCTATGCTTCTAGCGTCCTGGCTGGAATGTGCCCCTCCTCCTTCTCATTCTCCTCCCCCTTCCTCCTTCCTCTTCTCTCGTCCCCTCCTTTCCTCGCTTCCCCCTCCTCCTCCCCCTCCTCCTCCCCTCGCTCCGAGGCCCGAGCCTGAGCTGCAGACGTGTTGCCCCCTTCAGCACGCGCTCACATACCGGCTTGGGCCCCCGCGCGTCGTCCGCTGAGGGCGGGCGACCGCGACGCTGCATCCTGGTGACCAAATGGTTTGCGTCCCCGTCCAAACGCAGGGAGGGGGGGGAGGTAAACCTCCCGAGCAGGGAAAGGCAGGAGATTGGAAAGGGAAACGCCCTAGACCACCTGCGCCCAGAGGGCTGGTGGGACCTCTGAGTGTACCGCTCATCATAGACTGGGTGATTATTCAAGTGCCTTGCTCCATTCCGCCGCCCCGCCGCCGCCTCCGCCGTCACTCCCGAAGATTCCGCCGACGCCGCCGCGATCCAGCACGCGGCGCCGATAGGGCCTAGAGAGCAAGACCTGTGGGCTGAGTGGTTCTCGCGCCGCTCTGAGGCTTACCCCGTCGTCTTTCCAGAGCTTCACGCTCGTGTCTCGTAAGTCGACGCTTGCGGCTCGTAGACCTGGCCAGGCACTGCGATCTGCCTTGCGACCGTTCCCTGCCCCGCTGTCGTGGGTCGCCTCCTTTCGCCTCCTCCGCTGTCGGGCTTCCCACGTCTTTGCACGACGATGCCGTCGGTTGCGGGTTTGCTTCGCCCCCGCACGCTGACGCGTTTGTCCCGCCCTGCCCAAGGATTTCTTACATCGCGCGTGCTGTTGTTTCACCTGTAGGTCTGCTCGGGCATTCGCACTGCCCGTGCGTTCCCTGAGTCCTCGTCGTGGATCGTCCCCACTCGGCTTCCCTGTTCTGGCAGGCTCCCCACGCCCATCGCACTTACACTTGTTCAGTCGCCCTGCGATGCGTCCTTGCGTGTCGCGTTTGACCCTCATTCCGGCACATGGCAGCCTCGGTGCTGTTCCGCGTATGTATCCTCGTTGCCCTCTCGTCGTGGGCCGCCCCCGTTCGTCTTTCAGCGTTGGCGGGATTCCCCACGCCCCTCGCATTACTGTTGCACTCGCCCTCTGTCTTGTTTGTCTGCCAATCTTGGTTCTGACGTATTTCGCCCGCGGTCTGCATCGCTGCTCCAGGCCTTGCTGTGTGCAGTCGTTCCCCCGTTCAGGGTGAGCGTTCCGACGTTGAGTGGCGATACGTTGTATGCTCGCGATTGGCCTTTATCAGGTGATTTGCCAATATTTGTCTACATGTAGATGCACAACTCTTGACCAGCGTGCCCAAGCCTGCTTGTTCAGTTAGGGGCTGGCAGTCGGCCGTCTTCGTCTCCTGCGCTCGTGCCTTCTGGGCGAGCCCCCCCCCCCCCCTCCCGACGGTACTGGACCGTCTCGTTGTGATGTTTACCATGCTCGGCAGTGGCGCAAGCGGCATGCCATTTCGGCTTGTGCGCCGCCCGCCCTCACATGGAACGAACACCCCAGCAAACCCCGCAGCTAACAAAAACACCCCCTGCTCCATGCCCTCCTGCTGCTACTGGTAGTGAAGGACAGTGGGCAGAAGGGGGAGGCGGAGGGCAGGACGAAGGAGGAGGGAGGAGGGGCGAGGGAGGAGCAATCGGGGAAACGAGCAAGATGCTGGAATTCGAATTAGCTTCTAATTCTAATTCTGTTTAAAGCGTCGTCCTCCTCTGGGGCAGGTTGCTTACACCACCACGCACTGATCGGATAACTCACTCCCCGACTTTTGGGGGAAGAATCCCTCGAGAGGCGCGACAGCACCTCCTTACCAGTACTTGTAGGAGGCAGACACCGTTTCTTCAGTGTGCGAGGGGGGGTGAATGTAACAAAACTCGGGCACCTTGCACAAAACAAAACGCCTCGCAGCACAGCGAGCTTGTGGGACTGATCGCGCAACTTCGCCAGAGGACTGCCCATTGCGCCACCGCACAGGTGAATCGGACCAACATCATCGAAATCGGGCCGCTGCTCAAGCGGCACTGGCTCGCGAAGTGGAAGGGCCTGAATCCGCTGCTCAATCTGACAGCGCAGCTTACAAGGATCAGGCCAAACATCTGACAGCTTATCCAGCAAGGTGAAACTGCGAAAACTATACTTGCAACGCACAGAGGCCTTGAGGAGGGAGAAACGGAGGAGATGCTGGGGAGGAGAAGGCCGACCCTGAGATCCAGCGTTGTGGAAAAAATCTGTCGCCTCTCGCACAATCAAAACAAACACTATAGACACCGTGTGTCTGCTACATGTTTGAGACACATCAAATTGTGAGGGCCACGGGCCACGGGCCACGGGATGCGAAACCTGGCGAAAACGCCCGCTGCAAAAAATATGCATCGCCTGAATCGTCGTGGGGGAGGAAGAAAGGAGGAGGGAGGAGGACCGTGCGTGAGGAGGAGGAGGAGGAGAAGGAAGAGGAGGGGAGGAGGAGGAGGGAAAGAGGAGAGCAGGAAGGGGATAAGGAGGGGAGGGAGAAGAAGGGGGAGGAGGAGGGAGAAAGGAAAGAGGAGGGGAGGAGGAGGGAAGGAGGAGGATAGGGAATGAGGACAGGAGGCGGAGGGGATAGGGGGGAGGAGGAGGGAGGAGGCAAGGAGGAGGGAGGCGCCCCAAACCTGCGCTGCGGGGGGCAGCGGCAGCAAACTGGCGGGCGCCGCCGGCAGCAGCGCGCTGGCCGCCCGCTGCGCGGCCGCGGCGGCGGCGCTGGCGTCGGGCCCGAGAGGCGGGGGCGCTCCTCGCAAGAGAACAGGGGACCTGCTGCTGCTGCTGCTGCTGCTCCTCCTCCTCCTCCTCCTTCCTCCTCCTCCTCCTCCGCCTCCTTCTCCCCCTGCTGACTGGGTTCATCTCAGGGCGGCGTCGTCGGTCCTGAAACAGTCCTTGCGGGGGGGCCCTCGGCCATGCGGCTAAGCAGAAGCACCTTAATACCTTTCATGCTGCCTTTGCCGCGGTTGTTGGCGATGAGCTCTCTCGCATCACCCGCGCGCCTGTGCATTCGAATCATGCCAGGGGCCTCCCGCCGCGCATCGAGTGGGTACCCGCTGATGAGCCACTGCGGCAGCTTGAAGGGTGGGTCTCGCACACCCCCGCGTACCGCCGGATCTCTAACAATTTGCAAGACCTCCAGCGGTGCGTCGCCGCTGGAGGCGCCGTGGAGGCGGCCGTGGCGCGGGTGGTCGAGCCTTCGGAGGACTTCCCTGACATGCCCGTAGCAGCACGGAATTTGCTGAGAGAGCTCAAAAGCATCTGCAGCCATATTGCTCCAGATGGTAGCGCTGTTCAGGTGCCTGTGGAGCAGGCGCTTACGTTTTTGGCGGGCCCTGCGGAAGAGCTAGATGCTCTTCTATGTGCAGAGCAGGCCTGGCGAGACTGGGTCACGAAGGCGAACAGCAAGTCGGCAGGTTGGGCCCATCGTTGGTCGAAGTGCCAGGCGAAGTGGACTCCTACCCAAGTCTATTGGCACGACGAGTGGCCTGGTCGGCCCTCCAGCTTTCTTGGCAGTGAGGCTACCAGACTGGCGGGGCTCTGGGCCACGGCGCCTAACGCCCCAACTCTGCACTCGCCGCCAGCAGACCAAACCCTGCAGCCTTTCACTCCCAAGTGCATCCGGGCCGCCTCCCGATCCTTTCCGATGGGCACGGCCCAGACTTTTGATGGGTTTCACCCCCGCCATTTGGCGCTGCTCGCCGACGAGCAACTGGAAGTTGTGGTGGGTCTCTTCCATGCCGTGGAGCAACATGGTCAGCTCCCGTCGCAGATCCTCGGGATAATCTCCACGCTGCTCCAGAAAGCGGCGTCGATGCAGCCGGGGGTCCCAGCTTCCCCAGGCATTGCCTTGATGCCCGCCCTGTGCAGGGTGCGGGCCAAGCGCAGGCTCCCCAGCGCACAGGAATGGGGGGCAGCTCACCCGCAACCCTTCCTGTGCCACCAGAAGGGTCGCAGCATCGTGGAGCTTGTCTCCCAGCAGTCTTTAGAACCTGAGTCGGCAAAGACGGCGGGCAGACGCGCGCACTCTGCCGCCGCGTTGCAAGACATGTCCGACTATTATGAAAATGTTGATCGGCGGCGCCTGCGGCACAGGGCGCGAGCAGCAAACTTTTCCTTCGTCGTTCTTTGCGTCGTTCTGAAGCAATGCCAGGCCCAGCGTTTCGTGGCGTGCGAGCGTGGGACCGTGAGCACGGGGCGCCCCGCCCGCGGCATTGCGGCGGGGTGCCCGTAGGCCACCTACCTGGCACCAGTATGCACACTTCAGCCTTTCATGGATTGGCAGGTTGAGCACCCTCGCCCCCCCCTCTCCCTTTTTATAGATGACCTTCACATCGGTGTTACTGATGACGGCTGTTACCTTCACATCGGTAGTCCGCGAGGTAAAGGCAGGCGCCTTTTCTTTGGTCAAGGTGACTGGAGATAACCTGAGCTGCTCGATTGCTCCGCACAACCTTGGCCAATTCCGACTGACTTCGCAAGAGGCTGGCAAAAGTGCTCGGCGTCCTCGCCGGTTGCGTGGCCCCGGCTGCGAAGAACTTAGGCGTCGACCTGGCCGTGGGCAGTCTAAGGTGCCGCAAGTCTAGTCGCCCGGCGCTGCGAGAACGCATGGGCAAGCTCAAGTCGCGCAAGCGGCGTTTAGCTGATTTGCGGCGGGCTGGCACTAACATGCGTAAACTGTTTACCACAGGCTTGGAATATCACGGCACCTTTGGTGTCGAAGTCAACGGGGTCGATGAGGCCGCATTGCGCCAGCTGCAATCATTCTTCTTGGCCATCGCCGGCCCCGCGGCGATGACCGTTCTCGCTCTATTTCGCTGGCCCTGCTGGAGGGCCCGACGTGGCGCCAAGGGCTGGCCCCGGCTCTACTCTGGGCCAAGATAGCACGGCGTGCCCACGTGGATAGGTCCGCGCACCATTTCCCATGTCTCGCCTCCTCCCCCTTGCCCCTGCTTCCCCCATCCTGGCCAATCCCCCGAAAGATTGGGGAAGCGTGCGCGGGCCGCTCGCCGCTGCCATCCTCTCCCTCCGTCGGATTGGGCGGGGCGCGCGCGCTGCGCTTGTCTTCGTGGACCGGGTGGGCAAGCAGTGGCCTCTCACTCTCCCCGATTCTTGGAAAGCAAAATGAAGGCAGCGTGGCAGGGTGCCCATTTGCGCGTTGCTAGCCATGAACTAGGTTCCGAGGCAGGTGCCAACGTAGATTTGTCGGTCGCCTGGCAGGTCCGCCACCGCGGCAGCCTCCCTGAGTAAGAGACCGGCACTCTGCAGTCTTTTTTGTGCCAGACTGTTTGGGCCGGGCGGAAATTGCAGCGGGCAGGATATGAGGCGCCCTCGGTCTCTGCGCACGGCTGCCCGACCGATTGCTTATCGCGCCGCCTGCACCACTGCCCCCCTTCGGCCCCGCTGAGAGCAGAATGGTTAGAGGAGACAGACGGTGAGCTCATCAACGACGGGCGCCGAAATGTCCCGCTCGTCTGCGGTTTCTTAGGACTCCCTGGCTTCTCCGCGAATCCCCCGCGCGGGTCGGGCACCACGCCGTGCCGCCTTTTCTGCGCGGATGCGCCCCTCACAGTGCGGGGGGCGTTTGCCGGTGAAGTTTTTGGCAGATGGCTCTTACCTGAAGGGAGGCCGCGCGGAATTCCGCATCGCGGGCTGGGCTGTCATCAAACTGACAGCTGGCGGCGATTTGTTTGCGGCCCTCTGGGGGCCCGTGGGTTCGCATTGCCCGCGGACTTCCCCGGCCGCAGAGCGCGCGGCTGTTCTCGCCGTTATCGGGCGCTGCCCACAGGCGCGGGCCATTCACTCTGACTTCCCGGGCCTCGTCCGCTTGTCCTCTGCCACGCGGAGCCAGGTCGCATCGAGGCGCCGCGCGCGCAGGCGCCCGCCAACTGATCCGTGCTTCGGCGACGTGGGGCCCGGATTCTCAAATCCACAAAGTCCAGGCCCGCTCTGACTCGGAGGCCCTTGCCCCGCAGCCCCGGGAATGGCGCCTCGCGGTGGGGAACGACTTTGCGGACAAATGCGCAAAGCTCGGCGCCGCGCTGCTCTCGCAGCCGTCGGGGGCGCAAAGACGAGCCCATGCAGATGGCGCGGCAGTTTTAAAGAGGTACCTCGGCTACGTCGCTAGAGCCTTGCCCCTGCGCCCGCGCCTGGCCCCTTCGAAGAAGGCCCGGTCCAAATTGAACAAATCACTGCGCGAGGTGGGGTTTCAGACCGGCGCGCGGTCAGCAAAATATGCACTGCCTCGCCCGCCCCCAGCGTCACCCCCCCCTCCGCCAGCCCAGGCGCGGGCTAGGCCGCGGCCCCGAGCGACGCGAGCTCAGGCTGGGCAGGAGGCAGACGCCGCGGGGCAGCATCCCGAGCGGCGGCGGCTGCGCCGAAGTTACTGGACCTGCCTCCATTGCCAGCGGCGCAGCACCAGAAGTCGGGTGGAGCCCGCGCCCCGCTTCAACGTCGCCCCCTGGCCGCCCCTCCCAGCGCCGCTCGAAGGATGCGCGGGGGCCTCGCCCATCCTGCGCCCCCTGTTCCATGACCAGCGCGGACGCAACCTTTTCGTGACAGAGCACCCTACTGGCATTTTAATCATCTGCAAAGCTCGCGGCAATTACTCGGAAGGTGCGCGCGCGGTCAACTGAGAGGACAGATGCCCCACTGCCCGAAATTCTCGCCGAGCGGGAACAAATTGGAATAGGGCGTGCAAGGGGCAGCCCCCTTATTACCAGCGCGGGAACGGGGCAATTCTCTGCGATCCGATGCCCTTCAGCACGCCGCTCGCGTTCCGTAGTGAATTGGCCCCCCCAGCGAGCCAGCCCCCCTCCCCCCCCCCCCCCTTCCGCCGCCGCCCTCCCGCCTGCTGCTCCGAGCGCTGCGATGGCCACTGAGCGCAGTCGCAATATTGCAGCCGCTGGTGCTGAATTTGATCCTTCTCTCGCCGACAGGGAACCTGCCGACTTCTTATTCGCCTCGGGCACTGCTGAGACCAGCGCACTTACTCAAGTGCGCGACCAGCGCCCGCGCCCGCCCCGCTGCCCGCCGCTGGCGACGTTGCCCCGCCCCCTGTCTCAGGGCCTGCTCGTTCGTCGGAGCGGGCGGCCCCCCGTTAGGCGAAGCAAGCTCTGGATCAGGAGGAATACGAGGCACCGCTCGCGCCTGCGCCGACTCAGGCATCGGAGGAAGTCGCATTCCAATCCAAGGCGCACCGTCTTTTAAAAGCTGCGGGATGCAGCCCTGCGGAGAGCACTGGCCAGCGTGGGCCCTGAATGGGCCGGCGCGCCGGCGGCGGATATGGCGGCGCAGCCGCGAAGGTGTGATGCGGTTTTCTGGATTCGCGCGCATTGCTTATTGTGCAGAATGTTTCACGCGATGTCATTCAGCCCCACTCGCTCGCCGCCCCCCCCCACTGTCAGGCCCCGGCCTTTTGAGGCGAGTTTGCCGCGAGCCAATCCCTTCCCGCGTCCTTCCTCTAGCACAAGCCAGTCCAAACCCTGCCGCCCACCTCTCCAGAGGCCGCCCTCCGCCGCGACCCCGCGGGCAATCTGTTTGAAGAGCGATGGCCCGCGCGGCCCCCCGCTTGGAGGGGGGCAGGGCAGCCTTTATCCAGCGGGACAAGAGATGGCAGCCTAACGGCCGCCGCTCCTGTCATTTCTGTCCTCCGCCGGCACCGCCTTCGAGCGCTCCGTGGAAGAGAACGCCCCAGCCAGAGTCGCCTATGCGCGGGGGGGGGGGGGGGGGCGCCATGCCTAAGGCGTGCAGGGCGCCGCCGGGGGCCGCCCCAGCCAGGTGGGTCACGCGCGGTATAGCACCGCGCAGTAAGCCAACTCCTCGTCGACAGTCCACTGGGCGCCTGTAAGGGGAGGGGCTAGGCTCAGGTTCCTCCGTTTCGGCCCTCCGCATTCGTCTTAGGCCGCGGGGCATCAGGTCGCTGTTTCGTCGTTAGGGCGATGGGGCGGCGCGGGGGGCTCGAGCGGGGGAGGGGCGCGCCCATGCTGAATGTTGGGGCGAAGCACGACGCCAGCAGCGCTGTCATTTGGCGCGTGTTGGGATAGGACACCATCCTGCCTCCTCGCCCCCCCCTGCCTCGTCACCTTCCCCCCCCCTCTTCCTTCTCCCCCCCCCCCCCCTCGCCCCCCCCCCCCCCCATGACTGCGTCGCGGTGGCTCTGGGAGGGGGCCGGGGGCCAGCTTCGAGCGGATCCAGTCGGCTGTGAATGAGACGGTTCACGTCGAGGTTTGAACCTGAAGCTCGAAGTTCGCGGTTGTTTGCTGTCTGGCCCTCGGGGGCACTCCTCGTCGCCGCGAGTGGACCCTGCTCGAAAAAACTGCTGCATTTGGACCCCGAGAGGGGCCCGGTGAAGCGCTCAATTCGCGCGCCTCTAAAAAATGTTAGAGTCGGGCAAATTTCCGGCCATCTGGAGCGGAGGTCGGCCGGCCCTGAAACTTGCGCGACTCCAAAAGTTGTTAGAGTCGGGCAACTTTTCCATTTTGAGCGGCTGTTGGCAGGCCCTTACATTTGAGTGGCCCAACGCATTCTTCGATTCACGCAGATCTCCACACGGGGGCGGGGGCGACTGACTTTCCCCAGCCATGCTCAGAGGGGGCGCAGTAAGATTGGAGCCCGAGCGCGGACTGGGGCGAATGCTTTTCCCCAGCCACGCCAGGAAATAGGGCGAGGTTTGCGCCGGAACGGGCCGGAACGTGGGCTGGGGCGACTTCCCTTCTCCGGCCACGCAGAGGCCATTAGAGTAGGGTTGTAGTCCTGCGCGGGCTGGGGCGACTTCCATCCCCAGCCACGCCATAAGGATTGCAAGGTGCGATCCGAGCGTGGGCCAAAGCGAATTCCATTCCCCAGCCACGCCAGAGTGGATGCAGAAGGATTGGCATTCGCGCCACAGCCACTTTGGCTCAAACCCGTGAGCCGCCAGAGCGCCACAAGGGCGCTGCTGTGGCAGCTGGTACGGGGTGGGGTGGGGCGGGGTGGGGTGGGGGGGGGGGGGGGGCAACCCGCCTGGCTACCGCGACGGCTGGGGCGCCGCTCATTCTCTGAATGGCGGGAGGGGGGAACAAGCTTCCCCTCGCCGAAGCAGCTGAGGGCTTGCTTGCACGGGGTGCCGCGCAGCCCAGAGCTGCGACCAACTACAGGCCCTGCAAGGCTGCATGGGGGCTCCTCAGAACAAGCGCCGCTGCTAGCTGCGGTGACCTCACTGCGCTGTTCCTCGGTGTGTTCAATATCTTCGCCTCCGTCCAGACGCTAGCGGAGTTGGCGCTCTTCCGGATGCGCGACGCCGCTGCCGCGCCAGTTCTGTCCGCTTTGCGAAACCCGTTTACTGAACTGGGGGGCAAGTCTTACAATATTCAGGCCGCTGCCCGCGGCTCCTTCGCCCGCGCAGTGCTGACGACCCGCGACGTCCTCGCGCTCCGATGCAAGAGCATCCGGATGTTGCCTTACTTTAGGCCACCCTCCGGTCAGCGTGCTCTCAGTGGATTGAAGGTGTGGCCGCTCTTTCTCCGATCAAAAGCTTTGGCGTTGCACATGCTCCACAGTTTCTGCCGCTGCCGGCATTCACTCGGCGACGATGCTGTCGGTCTCTGCGCCGCGCCCCTCGCGGCAGCCGGGGCGCACCGCCGGCCCAACCTTGCCGGAAACGCTTCTAGGAAGCGTTTCGTCGAGGCCTCGGCGTTCCGGAATGGAGCCCAGCAGCGCCTGAACATCGATCTGCAGGAATACACCCGCGAGAAGGCGCTGGCGCTGAGCGCCTTCTTCTTTGCCCCGGCGCTCGACTGGCTGGGAGGCGAACGAGGCGAGCTCTTGGGCGAGGAGGACATCCGGGAATTGCTCCAAGGCGCTATTTTCCGCCATGGATGGATCCTCATGTTTCCACATGTGTTGGGGGGCTTGGAAGTTTTGGGCTTGGCCGGCTCCATGGACTCGCGCCCGGGGGCTTGGTGACAATACCCGGCTCGGCAGCAAAGTTTGGGGCGCTCCATCTGAAGAGATGGTGGCCGCGTTCTGGAATGAGTGGCGGCGCCGGCGCAAACTCGCTCCAGCTGGTAGCACCAGGCGCGCTCTGGACGCTCTCATCTCCGGCTTCGACGTTGCTGCCTTGCGATCTCTGTATTGTAAAGCGATCAACATCGGGAGGAACTTCATTGCCGTGCGGGCGGGCGTTATCCACTTGGCGCTTGGAGAAGGCGACCCAGCTCACGGCGGCGTCGGCGTCATTGGCGACTGGGAGAAAACGACCCAGCTCACGGCGGCGTCGGCGTCATTGGCGGCTGCCGTAGGCAAGCCGCGACGCGGCCAGAAGCGGAAGCGTGTCTCATGATCCTTCGGCGGGCGACCGGTGGCTCTTCTTGAACGCATTCGCATTGGAGGGTTGGAGGGGGAGGGTGCTGAGACGAGGACAGAAGGCGGAGGAGGACAATGCGTATCCTGGAGTTTGCCTGCTTGTTGGCGGCGCCCATCCACACTAGCGCTTCGCTCTGGGGTGCGAAGGAGAAGCAGCATGCAGTGCCCTCGTGGCCTGCGCCAGCGGCCGCCCTCGCTTTCCCCCGCCCCTCCCTGTTCCCCCCCCTCTTCCAGGCCCACCCTCCGCCCTGCTCTCCCTCTCCGCTTTCCTCTGCCTCCCCTTCCCCTTCTCATTCCCTCATTCATCCCTCAGAGGGGTGGAGATTCCTTCTCCGTCCGCATCATAGGCCAGCGTTAGCCGAAGAGGGGGATGGGAGAGTAAAGGGCCCCATGACGACGACGACGACGACGACGACGACGACGACGACGGCCAGCACGCGGGCCGCTTCCGCCCCAGGGAGGGCGGCCTGCCCGCGCGAGGAGAGCTTCAAGGTTCCCGCCGGCTCCCACTGCCCTCCCCCCTTGTGTTGTCTTCTCTCCCTCCTCCTCCCCCGCCCGAGGGCTGGTAGCCCAAGCTGGCTTTCGATGTGGTGCTGCCAGCCAGGGCGGGTCCCCGCTAGCATCCCCTTTAAACAGGCTGCGAGCTGGGGTCTCCCCAAGCGCAGGGGGTCCCCCACTGGCAGTCCCAAATGCGGCCAACGGCCCCGAGGGACTGCTCAATGGCGGCCCGCTCGCAGACCTGGCAGTTTGGTCAGTGATCCTCCGCCTCCTTCTGCCCCTCCTCCTCCTCCTCCTCCTCCTCCTCCTCCTCGAGGTCCCCCTCTCCTCCCCCTCCTCCTCCTTCTCCTCCTCCTCCTCCTCCTCCTCCTCCTCTTCCTCCTCCTTCTCCTCCTCCGCCTCCTCCTCCTCCTCCTCCTCCTCCTCCGGTTCCCCCTCCTCCTCCTCCTCTCCTCCCTCCTCCTCCTCTTCCTCCTACTCCTCCTTCCCCCCTCCTCCTTCCCCCTCCTCCTCCTCCTCCTCCTCCTCCTCCTCCTCCTCCTCCTCCTCCTCCTCCTGCGTGTCCTCCTTTCTGTCCTCTCATCCCCCTCCTCGCGGTTTCGGCCAGTCGCGATCACGGCGGCCCTCCCGGACGTTTTTTGTCTGCACGGCCGTGTCTGCCTCGGAAAACGGGTCAGGATGACCCTGGGAGGGTCCGGGTGCCGATTTCGGGCGGATCTGGGCTGGGCAGGAGAAGCTTGCTCCCCCTTTCCTCCCTCATTCCTCCTCTCCGGGTCCCTTTCCTTCTCCTCTGCGTCCTCCTCCTTCTCCTCCGTGTTATCCTCCTCCTCCTCCTCCTCCTCCTCCTCCTCCTCCTCCTCCTCCTGCTCCTTTCAATCCTCCCCCCTGCTTTCTCGACACCGTCTCAGGTGGCAAGCTGCTCGAAGGTTCTTGGTCTGAGCCGCATTACCATCATGATCGTCGCTAGCCCAGACATCCGACATCCGGCGTCAAACATGTAATGCGCGGCCCAAGCGGTCCCGACACCTTCCACGTGGCCAATTTTGCGCCCAGATCAATGTTTGATTGTGCTTGGGCCCAAAGACGGCCTGGGGGGGGGGGGGGGGGGGGGGGGGGGCGAAACCAAGGAAAAATTGACTAAAACAGATCGTCATCGGCGACGTCGGCGATGCATCGGCGACGTCGGGGTGGAGACTAACAGAACAATTATAAATAGAAGGCTCCTAGATGGGTTCTGAGCAGATGTGGTCGGAGGATCGCGCTGTATCGCCAACGCGTAACCCTGGGTTAACCGATGCATCACCGATACATCGGCGATGCAGCGGCGACGCATCGGCGATGCATCAGCGACGTCGGGGTGGAGAACATCGGGCACCACGTCGCGCCGCACCGCCGATGCATCGGCGACGCGGCGCGATCCTTCGGCCCCATCTGCTCGGACCCCATATATGATGGGCCGATGTCCACCATCACTACCAGAGGTAGGAGATGGACTGGAGGAGAAGGAGGAGGAGGACCTCCCCATCCTCCCTTCTCCCCCGTCCTACATAATGCCAGTAACGGTGGGACATCCTGGCCCATCCACCCGAGAGGCCCGGAATGTCTGGGATGCCGTCGTCGTGATGGCTTGCGCCGCGCTCGCCGTCGGCCGCCGCCGCCGAGCGCTGCGGCCGCCGAGGGGGTCCTCCGGCGCGTGGCGGACCCCCCTCGGGCCCGAGGTCGGAGAGGCTGCGGCGCAGGTGCGGGGCGGGGCCCCGGGGCTGCTGCGCCAGCAGCGCGCTCAGGCCCACGCCTCTCGCCGTCCCTTCGTCCCTCCTCTGCCAACCTGGTCCTTCCCATCGTTCCCTCCCTCGCCCGTCCTTCTCATCCCTCCTTCTTCTCCTCCTCCTCCTCCTCCTCCTCCTCCTCCTCCTCCTCCTCCTCCTCCTCCTCCTCTAGCCTGGTCCCTCTCTCGCCATCCTCCCAGTCCCTCTCTCTCTCTCTCTCCGCTCCCATCCCTGCACATCCTGGCCAGGGCAGGAGAAGAGGGAGAGATGATGGGAAGGGGAGTGATGCGGGAGGTCCGGGAGGGAAGACAAGAGGAACTGTCATGACTCATGACACCCCCTCCTTCTGTTCCTCTCGGACCTCCCGCATCACTCCGCTTCCCATCACCTCTCCCCCTCCTCCGACCCCAAACTATCCTCAACCACCTCTCTCATGTGATTCGCCTGCTCCTTCTCCCCTATTCCGCCCTCCCCCTCGCCCCCCTCTCCACCTCGTCACCCTTTCATTACATGACCCTGTTCTTCGTTCTGTTATGAACCCCTCTGGCCCGAAAAGATTTGGGCGTGGGGCACAGAGCACCCACAGGACCGCCATCGCAGCGACATCGACACTTCCCATCGTGTTCATGCTGGGGCAGACCTGACATGCAGCGTTTGCGGGTATGTTCGTACAATATGCTCTCATTACGATTGGGAAAGAAATGCGCGCATATTGCGCAGCAATTTCAGCCGTGCGCAGCGACTGGAAAACAGGCGACGCAATGCACGGCATATACGAGGGACTGCAGTACCATCCAGACAGACCTGCAGAAATTCACAAATGTCGATGACCCAGGGCGAATGGTTAGATTTATTATTAATTCTTGCTGAACGCAAAAGTGCTCCAAAGTCGCACGATTATTCATGCAAGTACTCCGCAAGGGTGCGGGGGGAGAGTGTGAGCCGTCAGATGCTGTGGAGAGGCCATGGACGCGACGTTCATCATAGGATGTGCACCAGCTGAACCTCACGAATCGACACAGGATCGGAAGGCACAGGAGGATAAGCGTAAGCACTTTTGGAAGAGAGCATACGAATTGTCATATATGTTTCCTACGGGAACGGTGCCAATCATGATGTTTGACGCCTGTGCTCGGCCAGCGGGGGTCTGACAAATGTAAGCAGCATGCCGTCGTGAACCACGATGCTGACGAAACGAATTTCAACGGCAGGTGTATAAGCGAGTGTTTGGAGCATCGCGGCTTGGCTGCACTGAGCAAGCTTTTCGCCACCGGGCCGGCTTATTATCATTGCGCTCGGGGAAACAGGCGTCACGCATAGACTTTGTGTTGCGCACCTGTAGTAACACTAGCAACTGTGGAAGTGTGTGAAGTTTTTGGGAGGGCGGGATTTCCCGCGAATGCCTTGGATTACAATAGGACCTTGCTTTGAAATGCGTAAACCGGTTCAGACAAGCTGGAACCATGATAGCATCTCGAAGGCAACTAAGATCGGCCCGGGGCTAGAAGAGTCCCGGGGTAAAGTGGAGAAGGCCCTTGACCCTGTCGCTCGGAATGTGCAAGAGCTGTGCTGCCAGAGTGCTGGTGCGATATATGCTGCAGAGCACGGGAGTGGAGTGTTTGTCGAGGAATCAATTTGAAAGACAGCCGAAGAAAGTGGCTAGGCCACCTGACACGCAGAAAGCCTTAGACGACCATCTTTCGAGCAGAACCGCGCTCACAGAACCCAGAATTGTTTCGACTAACCCTCTTTCTCATCTTCTTCCCTTGCTCAAGTTCCGGGGTGGCTTGTCTGTAGAAAAGGGCCGAATCTGTATGTTCTTGAAGCAGGCGAACTTTTGGGTTAACTGTTCAGTGTCCCGCGCGTGCGAAATGCGACACGATAAGAAAGTTCGGCTTGTGGCGCGAAGAGGCCATGCGAGACCAGAGAGACTGTGCGCTAGTGGGCTAGTCAGCGATCGCCAAGACAGGTGGATACTCGGCTCTCCTTTGGAAATCCCCCAGACTGCCTGCAGGGAGCACATGAGGACCTCAACGGCGTAACGCTTGTGCCCCCGATACCGGGCTTGAGGTGGGGCCCAATCTGGGGGTCAGGGTGGTTTTCTGGCGAAGACCTCGGGGCAGGAATGAGAAAAGAAAGGCGCCAGCATTGTGCGCCTAGAACTGGTTAACTGTTGAAATGCTCCAGCAGGGGCACAAAGATTTCTTCGGGGTTCGAAAAAGAATGTGTAGAACTCGGCTTAGGAGAAACCATGCGCTTTGGAGTGTCTCTGCCGGGGCCTGGGGGCTTCTAAGGTGCCCCAATGGATATAGGTAGCCCACAAACGAAGTGCTTGAGCAATATGAGAATGTTGAAGGCTGGCCTGTTCCGACTATGACTAAATTTTGAGAGTGACGAGTTGTTACGATCAGGCACCACAGGGAAGCACCACTTCAATTGCATCGAGTCCGGCTTCTTCGCTGGACAAGCTGAACGGCAAGGGTGGGTGCAAGGATCAGAGACTGGTGCACTCGCTGACCACGGTTAGGAGAGTGTTTGTTCCACGTGGCCGCGGGACGTGTACCCTGAGTTGGCGATTAACGCTGGCAGGACGTAGCATATGGGTTACCTGCAGGGCGTGAGGAACGAGGAAGGAAGAAACGATTCTCGCACAGAGCATATGCGCCTCGAGGCTTCTTTGTTCAAAGGTCGGGCGACTCATCACCTTGTATGATATGACGAATGCTGCTCGCAGTGCACCATGATACGCTGAAGCGGTATGTTAGGAAGAATTGCGACGAGTTCGGTGCGATCCTCCTGCAGCAAAGGTTGGACTTCGCAAGGTTGTGATCGAGTGCGTGGTTCTGACGGTGAGTATCGGACAGGGTGCGCTTCCTGGAGGCACGGTGCCTTGCTTTCGGTTTATTGGGGCCTACAGCATACCACTTGGTACCTTCAGGCGTTCGGAAACGGGAGGGAATTATGTTCAGGCTAAGTGGCTGAGGCACTGTATTGTTTCTACGGAGGGGGCCAAGCAACAACGAATGTCTTCGCTAAGGAATTCTTGGACATTTCGGTGACGGCGAATTCGGATGATACCGCTCGTAATACTGCTGTGATGGACGCAGTTATTGAAGTCGATACTTCTGGCTTCGGAACTGCATGAGGAGGGGTGGCACTGGATGCGGATAAACAAATACCAATAATACAATTGCGAAGGAAACGCCGTTCGGGATGAGGAACCTGTATTGGGACAGGAATGTGATGATGGGGGCGGCGCAAAGACTTGAGAAATATCTGTGTGGACAAATGGATGTTCAAATTAACGCCACCACCGAGATCGACTTCCGGGTGAAGTGTGCAACGTAGGCTCTTGCTATTAATGGCAGCTTTTTGGGAAAGAGCCAGGTGCTATCATGTCTGGGGGATTATGGTTGGGAGGAGTCGGGTGCTATTAAGTGTCGGGAGGAGTCATTTCTTGTTGCTATAATGTTGTTGCTACTTTCGGAGAAGGGTGGTGCTCAAGAATATGGTTGAGGCGGCCCTGCGCTCGGAGGTGATTGCGTGTCCACTCGCCGAGGCGGAGCTCGAGCGTGAAGAAGATATGCAGGCGAGCTTGGCGAGAAGGGCGCTGCAAGGCATGGGGCGTCTGATGAACGAAGCGACGTCGGAGAGAGCCAACAGGTACGAAACGCTGCCGAACCAAAGTGCGCGAGAAATGCTGACACTTCAAACACCTTTCGGCCAATAGCGAGCCTAGAAGGTGAACTGGTTGAAAGAGATGATCAAGTTTCCAGGGAGGCGCGTGCTGCTTCTCGCCACCATGGGACAGGTACAATTTGCGAGGAAAGTGAAACTTATGTGATGTACTATGTAATGCGGTATCGGAGCCAGGTATGAGTTCTGTGCCTCAGCTGCTGGTTGACCTATCGGTATGTGTCGAGAGGCTGTCCATGCCGGAAACTCCCCGAAAGCTCGTTCGGAGGCTGGTGGCTCTTGCTTGTGAGGGTGAGGTTTGGGAAGCGGTTCTACACGATGTTAAATAAGATGGCGGGAGGACCACGGGGGTTGAACTATATTTATTGGGGGGAGCAGCCTGAGGCGGAAGTGGACGGTTCAGATGGGGAGGAGGTGGAAGCGAAGCAAGACGGACCAAAACCACTTTGGGTAACGCGAAACCTCATGGAAGACGGGCGAGGACGTGATGGTGAACACGATGGAGGCGGAGACCGTGGTGGAGGAGGACCACTGCCTCAACCTGCTGTGCCAGAGACTATTTACCACGCTCCAAAGCTGTGCAATCTTGCAGGCTGTGGAGCTGGCTTCGATACCAGACGCCAGCTTCCCTTGTATCAGTCCAACTCAGAGGAACATGGAAACAAAACGTCTGGCCACCATACTGACGGTTTCCAGCAAAACAGTTGTGGAAATGTTTAAAGACACATGTATACAGAGAGAGAGAGAGAGAGCGGCGCCTCGGATCATCTCGAATGAAATACCAACCGGGGGAACTACCCCAAACAACATAAAGGTTCGGTTACGAGTCGCTCTCATGTGGTGGCCCCCCATATCAGTGCGACTTATGTGACACTGAGTTGCCTACGCATGAAGCGGCTAGGAAACACATGCTCGGACACCTACTGCCCAGCTAGCAGTATGCACATACATCGTGACTTCATATCGCTCGAAGCTCTGTGGTGTGATTCTTCCTCACGCCCTTCGTTACCCTGATCTCATGTGCTGGCATGGCAGCCTGGGGGGGATCACTTCTCGCACGCGGAACCGAGTGATGGTACAGCGGTGCCAAAGTACCTTTCCAGCGGTGACGGTGGAGGAGAAGGAGAAATCATCCTTGGCGCTCAAGCTTGGTGTGCTTGCCCATCGTAAGTTGAGGATGCTCGGGTCAGCTGAGCATCCCGACTCCTCCCCCATCGCCTCGCACGTTATGCGTAAAGACGCTCCCGCCGTCCCCCAAGAACCCCTTTTGATCTTCCTCATACCGTCAAAATCCCATGTGTCTCATCTGCCGCATAGCAGGCGTCGTTCCTCATCACCCTTCTCATGTGCAGGATCACCCTCTCCATCCTCGTCCTCCTCAGCACCAGCGGCATCGTCATCAAACCACACCACATCCCACCCATTATTATCGACAGTGCCGCCTCAGCGCCCCCACCCCCTGCGCTGTATGTTTTTACCGTCCAGCGAAGCCCTGTGGTGGAGAAGCGGGAAGAGGGGCGGGGGAGCAGGAACGGAGGACCCGGGCGCGCAGCACGCCGCCCGGCCGCGTGCAACGAATCAGTCTGGCGGCCCTGGCCGGGCCTCCCGGCGAGCCTGGGCGGCCGCCCGCACCACGCGCGCGGCTGGCAGCAGGAATACGCCCGCAGCCCGCGGCGGCAACGCCGGCAAGGGAATGAGGGAAAGGGGGGCGAAGAGGCCCACCCCACCCCCCACTCCGACTCCCTCCTTCTCCTTCTGCCCTCCCCCATGGCACAAGCAGCCCTCGAGCGCCAGCTGCCGTGCCCCGCTCCAGGCTCCGCGAGCGCCCCCGCCGGCCCGGGCTGGACGGCGGCGTGGAGGAGGTCCGAGGCTGGCCGAGGCACTCCCGTAGCAGGACCTGCCGCCTGGTTTCCGCCGCGCGGTGGGCGGCTGCCACCTCGCGCCACGCCCTGGGCGGATCAGCTTCGCCTGGCGGCGCGCCTCTGGGAGGCGCGGCGGCCCCCGCCGCAGCGTCCCAGGCCCACAAGCGCCGCACTATCCTCAGCGTCTCCTGGCGGCGCGGCGCCAGGAGCTGCAGGAGCCCCACCGTTTGCGGCCGCAGAAGCGGCGGCAGAAGCGGCAGGCACAGAGGCGGCGGGACCTGCCACGGCCGCCGCCGCACCATCGGCGGCAGGGACCGCCGCACCGGCCCCGCGCACAGCGGCACCGACCAGCGCGCGGAGCTGCTCGACGAACGCCGCGGCCTCGCCGCCTCCGGCGCCGCCTCCGCGATGCTGCAACGCCGAGGTGGCAGCAACGAGGGTGTCGAAGGCTGCAGCAACGCCAGGCTCGGAGAGATCCCCGGCAGGTGGCGCCCGCGCAGGAGCTGCCTCCGACTGTCCGACTGCACCGCCAGCAACGCCGCAGCGGCATGGCGCAAAGCTGCCTGCGCCTTTGCCGCCTCGGCCTCGAAGTGCGCCACGGCCTGACGCGCCTCCATCAGGCCCTGGTTGGCCGCCATCACCTCGGCCGCTGCTGCTTTCTGGAAGTCCGTCGCGGCCTGGACGCGGACAGCCCAGGGCCGCGACGCCCGAGCGGCCAACTCCAAGGTCTCGATCTGCCAGTCGCACTCGGACGCGTCCACCGACGCTCCACAGCGCTGGGCAGTCGGTCTGCGTCCGCGCCAACAGCGAAGCTTCCACTGCGAGGGGCTCAGCTCGTCCGCCTGGGAGGCCTGTTGAACGCCAGTCGCTGCGGAGGGCGGCATCGGCACGTGCCTAGCCTGTTCCGCGGCGCTCGGCGGCGATAGCAGCAGGCGCTGCACCACGGCCGCGTAGGAGATCGCGCCATGCGCCTGGGCCCCACCTCCTCCCGGCTTGCGGCGCTGACCAGGCGCATCCGACCTGGGCTCCGCCGCGCGCTTCGGCCACACCTCGGCTGCCACCCGAGCGGCATCGGCGATCCGCTGCTGCGCAGGCTTGCCGCAGCGCTGGCAACGCAAACGACGCGCCCAGTTGCCCGCGTGCCGCCGTGGGAGCAACGCCGTCCGCAGCCTGCGAGCGTCGGCCGCCGCCGCCGCCGCGGTCGCCTGGCATCCGGCACAGGCCGCGCGCGCGGATTACCGGGCCCTGGCGCCGGGCCGGATCGCTGCTCCTGCCTGGCTGCTTGACCCAAATGGCTTGAGCTAAAATACCAAAGAACAGAAATCAAATCGATCAGAGACGTACATGTGTCGCCCCCAAAATATCAAAATCTGACCCCGTATGTGTCTTGCTCGCCCTCGCTCGCCTAAGTCGCCCCTCCCGCCCCCCGCCCTCGCCCTCCTCCTGATCCTCCACCTACTCATCACCCGCGTCCGCCTGCCAATACCATCCTCCGCATCAATCATCCAGTCAGTACCCCTGTTCCTCTTACATCCATTTCCCAATATCCATCATCCATCATCCGTATCGCCACCCTCCTCCCCCCCACCTCCCCTCCCACCCACCACCCCGTCCTCCTCCTCCTCCTCCTCCTCCTCCTCCTCCTCCTCCTCCTCCTCCTCGTCATCCCCCATCCATCATCCTCCCATCCACCTCTACGTCCTCCTCCTTTCTGTGAACCTCCTCTTCCCCCCCTCCTCCGCATCCTTGGCCTGACTCCTTGCTCCTCCAACTCCCCTCCCTCCCTCCGTCCCCTCATGTTGTTTTTGACGGGCCCGATAAACCCGACCCGCTGCCCATCAGCGCCGACCCGCTGGAGGACAACGAGACGTCGGAGAGCCGCCGCGCGGCCCGCGCAGAGCGTCCTCGAGGGGACGGGAGGGGAGGATGCGGGCGAGGGGAAGAAATGGGGCAGGGCAGGAGAGGAGATGAAGAGAGGAGGAGGAGGAGGAGGAGGAGGAGGAGGATGAGGAGGAGGAGGAGGAGGAGGACCAGTGCAAACCCAAGACTCATCAACGATGATGCAATCAACCCTGGCTCCAAGTCCCCTCTTCACGAGCCCCTGCAAATATTCATTTTCTCTGAAGGAAGTGCCCCGTCGGAAGACAACCACTCGAAAATCTGGAACTGTGCCAAAACACCACTCCTGGGTGTTCAAAACCGCGAATCACCGTCACTGTTGCATCTTGGCGATCCTGAATCGTGCCAGAACGCCAGTCCTGGGATTTCAACACCGCGAATCAACGTAACATCTGCGCCCTGACATTCCGACATCGTGCCGAATCGCAGCTTCTGGGACTGTGCCCTGAGAATCCTTGACGCTGCAAGCACTTGAAACTAATATTTGCGGCGCTAAAGCAAGAACCACATTTTGGGAACGGACAGCCCTCCATCTGGCCCGCCCTTTCGACCAGCCTCGGGGCAAGGAATGCGTTCAGGAAGAAGGACGGAGGAGGAGGAGCAGGATGAGAAGGAGGAGGAGGAGGAGGAGGAGGACGAGCCGGAGAAGGAGAAGGAGGATGAAGAGGAGGAAAGGCATGGGGGGAATCAACAGGCAGAGAGGGCGAGGGAGGCGGCGGAGGGGGAGGGAGAACGGAGAAAGAATCAGGGGAGAGGTTCGAGGAAGAGGCAGGGGTGGGGGGGGGGGGACGACGGGGGGAGGGGGAGGGGGCGGGTGGGTAGAGGAGCGTGACGGAAAAACAAGGCGCGGAGGAGGATGCCGAACAGGAGGAGGGATGACGGGGCGGATGCAGGGCGGGGGGGACGGGACAAGGGGCGGGACGCGCGCTCGACAGAAGTGGATGGGTGTATGCGTCTGCGCCCGCAAGCCGGCGGGCAGCGCCTCTAGCCTGCCTGTGACCAGGCTGGCCCCTGCCGGGGCTCATAACCTGGGCTGGGACGCACCGCCCCGGGGAGGAGGCCCACAACAAGGTGTCTTCCATCAGGGGCGGTGTGCCACAGCCCGGCCTTGTCGAAGATGCCTGTGGCCACGCTGCCGAGGATCTTCCTGAGCGGAGCTGAGATCACGTGCGAGTAGCCGATGATATATTATAGGACTTCGCGTGGCCCGCCCACTGCGGGCGGTTCAGCTCCTGGTCGGTCCGCGCCTGGTCGGAGCAGTCTCGATGAGGTCCTCCTCCTCGGCCTCCGCGGCCATGGAACACCTGGCACTAAACTGGAAGAGGTCCTCTGCGGCCAGGTGGGCAGAAACGCTGGCACCGTGCTCGATGAGGTTGTCCTTTTCCTCCTCAGTTTCGTCGTTCTCCGAGGCGTGGTGGACGACATTGCGGTCGTACTCGACGAGGTGTTCCTCCATGTCCTCCGCGATCTGGTGGACGAAGCTGCCGGCGTCGGACTCGAGGAGGTTCTCCTCCTCGTCTTCCGCGGCCTGGCGGTCGGAAGCGCCGCCGCCAAACTCGAAGAGGTCCTGCTCCTCCTCGGCCTCGGCCTCCGCGGCCATGGAAAACCTCCTCCTCCTCCTCCTCCTCCTCCTCCTCCTCCTCCTCCTCCTCCACCTCCTCTACGGCCCGGTGGGCGGGCTGCTGGTCACCCCAGGCCGGCGCGAATGGCACGCAGCCGCCCTTCTCGTCTGCGGGGCATGCCTCCTTCTCACGAGGGCCCTCCTCTCTCACCACCTCGTCATCGCACGAGGCGTCGCTGGGAGGATCTAATTCCGGCCAGGATCCGTGAGGCCGCACCCCTGCGGGAAGCTAAGATGCTTCAGGAGGCTTGGCGGTGACACACTGCGGAGGGGCTTCACCGCCAACGATGACAAGATGCCCTCCTGCAGCATCAGGCGCTTCCAGCTGATGCGCACTGGGGAGTCCAGAAGCTTCAGCTCCAAAGGAAGCGCCAAGCCCATGGCGCGGAGCAGCTCGGCAGCCTGCTCCGAGTGCGGCAGATCGTGCAGTGCATCCCAGACGGCCTCAGCCTCCGAGACAGCCACGCCACGGGGCTGCTGAGGGGGCGCGGAGGCACCCGGAGGAGGCGAATGGCGGACCATGTTCGCCAGGGCGCCTGTCTCGCGCAGCTCCTCTGCCTCCAGCCTCAAGCCCAGGAGCTCCGCCGCGATGGCCAGCTCCAAGATGGAAGGGAAATGAGCGACGACCAAAACGGGTCTTACACGAAATGACATTGCTAGCAAACATACTCGGCTGCTTACGCGTGCCGCCAACGCGGCACGCTACATTGGAGACGAGGGCACTTACGCGCGACTTTACGCGGGCAACTTACGCGCCAATATCGGCGCCAGCGACGCCGTTTTCTTGCGTCGCTCAAATGGTAACCGATCGTGACACAAAGCTTCCAGTGAGCGCACAAGGATCGCCGAAACACGGCCGTCCTCTGGGCAGCGGCCTGCGCGCGTTGGAACGCCACATTGGCGCGCCAAGCCCTCTTGCGGCGCCTTGCAAGCGTGATGCTGCAGCCCATTCCTCGCCGCCTGGCGCCATGGCCGCTAGCGCACGCCCGCGAGCCCACGTGGAACGCGCGTCGACGTGGGCCTCCCGGAAGCCGGCTCGCTCAAGCCAAAACGGGTTGAGCCAAGATGGCTTGAGCCAAGATGGCTATGGTGGACAGGGGGTGGGAGGAGGGGGTGGAAGAAGAGGGGGGGGAGAGAAGGATGATGACTAGGAGGAGGCAGGGGAAAGGGCGGAGGACTCGAGGAGGAGGAGGAGGAGGAGGGGGAGGAGGAGGGGGATGAGTGAGAGGGGGTGGGGGAAGATAGAGGGGAGGAGAGGGAGGGAGCAAATTAAGAGAAATAACGAAATGAACACGTGTCGATGACCGGGGGAGGGGGCACGGAAATACTGCGGAAAGGCAGAGGAGGAGGAGGAGGAGGAGGAGGAGGAGGAGGAGGAGGAGAATAACGAGGAGGCGAAGTAGACGGAGGGGAGGGGAGAAGGAGGCGTGCCACGACCTACAGGTGGAAGGGGTGGGTTGGGATTCTGCCAAGAACAAGACAGGGTGACGACAGCGTGCCGACTCGCATGAGCAGAGAGGCGGCGACTGCTTGCTGCCTGCGCCTGGCACGATGTTTCTGGCGAGCACCGGGGGCATGGATGAACTGCCACGGACGGAAGCGAACCTCTTGACATCCAAACACATACGACAGACAGTACAGTAAAGAAAAGACGCTGTCATACTCTTGATGCTGGCGGCACCAGCAGCACCTGAGACGAACGCAGGAGGTAGCAGAGGAAGCAAACATCCGAGAGGCAGACGTGAAATACGAGCGATACCGAAGATTCACTTCACGACTGCGGCCTACCAGCGGGTTCGTCAAAATGGCCGGACCTGCGCCCCCGAAATATCCTGGCACTCACGAGCCACCCGTTGCAGACAGCGATCTGTCCACGCGCAGGTGCGCACTGGGGACGTGCTCGGAAAGAAGCGGATGAGGAGGATGAGGAGGACGACGAGAGTGGGAGGGAGGAGGGGCGGAGACGGACATAGGGGGCCAGGGGGAGTGGAGGCGCATGCGGACAAGGAGGAAGGGGTGGGAAAAACATGCAGGATATAAAGAGGACGAGGCAGAGCCAGAAGACTGAAGAGGGGGAGGAGGAGGAGGAGGAGGAGGAGGAGGAGGAGGAGGAGGAGGAGGAGGAGGAGGAGGAGGAGTTAAAGTACCCTGAACTAGACGAGAAGAGGGCAATCGGGCACGAAGCGAGACGAGGGCAAACGATGATCGTCCGCAGCGCTCGTCGCTAGCTCTCTCACCTATAGATTAATGATTTGGCAGTTCGGCTCGCTGCGGCCATCGCCGAAGGGTTTGAGCTCGGGTGAGCGTGATGCTTGATTTTGTTATAGATGTGAAACGCTGGCACGTGATGCGCTCCACCGTCGAGCGCAACGAGAGCGGATTCTGATCCTCGGGTGGGTACGCAGCTGCGGGCCCAAGGCCCCAGGCTGCGAGCGTCAAACGGAGGGGGGGTATCAGGGGACCAGAGGAGGCTCGAAAGCGAGGGGCAGGTGAGGTAGTAGGGAAATGAAGCTGGCTGGCTCCCGCACCCGAAAATGCATTGTGTCGGGGCGAGCACGTGCATGCGGCCGTGGTAGTCCAGCCACCGCTGAATGTCTTCAAGGTGGCCCAGCGCCAGCTTGGGCGCACCGTTTTAGGCGATTCCGCGAGCGCTGACCAGCGCTTTTGGAGCTATCCTGGCGCCGTCGGCGCCTGGGGGGCCCAGGCCGAGATGCGTTTGAGCAGAGTGACGGTAAATGGCGAGGCGAAGGCTTGCTCTGCAAGCTTGCGTGCAAACGCGCGCTGGTATTTCGGGCGACGCGGCGGGGCGGCAGCTGCCGCCTTAGGCGAGCGGCGTGCAAAGCGGCTGAGACGGCTGGGCGGGCGAACGGCTTCTGAGGCTGGGCTCCAAGGAGGGATCGATAGTACTGTACGATGGACTGCTGAGACGACCAGAAAGCGGGCGACCACGCGCCAGCCTGCCAGCAAGGCGCGTCCTGAAGGGAGGTTTCCTCCCATGATGCGTCGGCGAAGCGATCGGCAAACGGCCCCCAGTCATCCGCGAGAGCGACGGCATCAGAGCGGGCAGCGGCAGCGACAGATGTGACATGAGCGGACTGTGGGGCAGGCGGCGGGCTCCACCAAGCCATGGCTATGGCATCAACTTTGCGTAGTGAGTTCGGCGGCAGGCTAAGCATCTCATGGACAACATACTGTCCGCGGCGAGCGATCAACGGCTGAAGCGGGAAGAACTGGGCGACATAGCTGAGCGTGGACAGGACTGAGGTATTATAAAGCCGAGCTGTGGCGTCACTGCCACCGTGCGCTAGGTGTAGAAGACTTCCCCGCTGCCATCATTTTTGACCCGGCGCGAGCCACTGCGAAGCTAGCGAGGCCTCGGCGCCGAGGAACGTGCCGAGGTATTTGGCGCAGCCCGCAACCAAGAAACCACCCCAGGAAGGCCCGAGCTCGGCCAAAAGGGTTTTGGTTTGGGCAACGGTGTCTGGGGTCGCCGCGGCCCAGAGCGGAACGATGAAACACCTGCGAGGCCTAAGCGGGAGGAGCGCAAGGTCCTCGGCTGCGGCAAAGGGCTTAGATGAGCGGCGCAGCGTGTCGAAAGAGTACGTCAGCAGCCCGATGTCGTCCGCGCTGGCGCCGAGGTAGCCAGCGTCCAGATTCGGCGCGCCGTCGCGGTGCTCCACAAACGTGGCGAGGTGGCGGATGAGCGGGCCCATGGCGATGGATGGCCCAGGCCGAGCCCGAAGCAGGGCAGCCCTGCGCAACGCCAGACTCTATGGATGGCGAACATGGTGTGTCTGACGCCGTCGATCTGGATGTAGCTGTTCGGCGCAAAGTACAGCGCGCGGAATAGGTTCATGAGGTCAAACGGGATCCCGAAGTGCTCCAGCGCGGCGAAGAGCCAAACCCGCCCCAAGGGCGGGAAGGCGGCAGGGAAGTCGAAGCTCGCGAAGATGGGCTTGGCTGGAAGAGCCCCAGGGAGTAGACCTGCGCGCCGCATCTCAGAGCCGAGGCGAACGATTTGCCAGGTGAAGTAGCGCTTCTGCACGAAGCCCCGTTGCGTTGTGGGTGCGCTCTGCCACAGCGCCCTTGATGAGGTAGTTGGCTGCCCCAACGATGGCCTTTATGACAATGTTATTCAGCAAGAGCGGTCGGGTATCTTCAGGAGCACGGTCTGTCGTGAGTTCGCCAACGGCGTTGTTACCCTTCGGCAGGAAGGCGAAGTCGGAATCGCTCAAGTCGCGGATGTAGTACTGGCCAGAGCAGAGGAAGAAGGACACGTCCTCCAGGAGGGTCAGCGAGGCATCGTGCGCGAGCCAGGCGGAGTACGGCACGCAGTCGGGGCCTGGTGCTGACGGCGAAGCGCGCTGCAAGAAGGCCTTGGTCTGCGGCTTCGCGGGGGCCTCAATGTCCAGGATCTCGCCCTTCGGCGCGCGCGCGCGCGTGGACGCAGTTGGTCACCCTGGTCTCGTCGACGGGCTTGGCGGCGAAGACGGGCTGCCAGTGGTCGCGCAGGGCGGCGACCATCGAGCCACTCTCTCTCGCTTTCATTGGTCCGTCGGGGCCCGTGACCTTGACCCCCTGGAGGGCGAGACGGCGCTCCCAGGGGGGCCAGAGGGGAGCCCGGCGCTGGGCGGTCCGAAGGACCTTACGGAGTTTCCCAGGGGCCAGGGCGCCAGCGTGCCCCAGAGGGCGCAGCGCGGCTTGCTGCGCGAGAGAGAGTTGCCGCGCCTCGAAATCGCGGTTCAGCTGCGAAGCGAGGCTGGCGAAGACGGCAGGCTCGTTGATCGCGATGATGTCGTCGGAGATGTTGACGAACTTGGCGCCGAGCTCGGTCGCGGAGGCAACTCCGCGGGCCAGTCGAAGGTCTCGGCGCCAAACGGCTCGCGAGATGGAGCGCATCGCGTAGACCCTGCCGGCCAGGAGGCCTGTCTTGTTGGCATCGCCGGTAGCCCGGCGGGCCCGGTCGTCGCGAACCAGCTGGGCGGCCTCCGCCATGAGGCGCCTGCGGGTGCGCCAGCGGCTGTCCAGCGAGACGTAGTCGAAGTTGGTGACGCCCAGGAGCTTCTGGAAGTAGATGGCGTAATTCGGGCCGTGGAAGATTGAGGGGTGGGTGGCCTGCCCGTCCTTCGGGGTGCGCGGCTTGATGCCGATGGAGAGAGTGATGATGGCGTGGTTGCTCAGGCGATTGCCCGGGAGCGGCGCGGCGTCGTGCGCCGCGTTCGCGTGGGCCGAGAGCTCCTGGGTGGCGTGCGAGGGCAGGCTGATGAAGATGCGCTCGGTGGTCGCGGCGCCGAAGTCCGAGCGGTTGATGCGCGCGGGGAGCTCGGTCTCGATCTCAAGCATGGAGTTGAAGAGGAACTTCCAGATGGGCTGCTGCTGGCGCATGCTGTTGCCCAGCGCAAGCCTGGCGCGCTGCGGATGCGGCTGCAGGCAGCTCTGCGGCGGGCGGCGGGCTACGTTGAAGTCCCCGATCGCGATGAAGGTGCGCATGCGGTAGTTAGCTTCTGCCCAGATGCGATGCAGCCCTCCAGCCTGCTGGGCCTTGCGGCGGTCGGCGTCGGCGATCTCGTGATTGTGCGCATTCATCAGGACCACAGTGGCATGCGTGACGGCGCGCGCGACGGCCATCAGCTGGACACGCCCTGGAACGAGTTCTTCACGAGCGAATAGCGGGAGATGGTTCGGCTGCAGCTGCTCGAGCTCCATCGGGGTGGACTAGGGGGTGAGCGTGGCGACGCTGACCGCGGCATTCGGGTCGTCGCCGTCGTCGTGCGATCACTCAGAGAAAAAGAGCTTGTAGGGGCACGGCTGCGTGTCCACCCAGGTGCGGAGCAGAGTCTCCGAGCCGTGGACTTCCTGCAGTGTGGTGACGCACTTGCGCTTCATATACTTCGCAAGGGCGGCCTGCTTGCGACGGCGGCGCTAGCTCTTGTAGCACATGAGGGCTCTGGCGTTCCACGTGGCGATAGTGGTCGGCTCAGTGGTGTCGTCAACCCTCCACGGAGCCCAGCGATGGTTAGGAATGCCACGTGGCCGTCCCCGTGTCAGCAAAGAGCGCCTGGAAACAAGTGATGATGTTGCCGCGACCGGAACTGCGGGTGGTCGGCGGCCTGGTCGTTCCACTGGATAACGGACGGATCGCCTTGACCTCTGACAATGGCTTTGACAGTGGGCATAGAGTCAGCGTGTATTTCGCCTTTGTTCCTGAACGCTCTCCATCTCGTTCTTGGGCATCGTTGCTGCGTGAGCTGGGGTAGCTTCTCTGTTTTCACTTCGGTACGGATCTGCTTGGGCGACTTGTCGGGGTTGAGGTATATGTCGCAGTACTGTCCAATGACGTCTGTCGAAGTAAGTCTTTTCCACTTCCCAGCGGCGTCCCGGAGGGCACGTGATAAGGCAAGGGCGCGAGGCACTGCAACAGCTTTATCTCCTTTGACTTGTAGTCTGAAGCGGCGAGCAGGTTCGTCACCGATAAGTCCGGCATGGCTCGACTGTAAGTTGGCGGCGGCGATCCACTCCTGGAGGTCGTTGAGCAGCAGGTCTGGCGCGATGAGGCGTTGGCTTCCGATCGTGAAGAGCGTCGGGTCGGGCTGTCTGTCCCATTCGGCAAGGCGGCTGAGGTCGGCGATCGGCGTCTGGGCTTCGGCGAGGGCGAGCGTGTCGCGCATCTGACTGATTCGCTGCCACATGCGTTGGTGTTCAGCAGCTTGGCGGCTGGGTTCTCTGCGAGTGCGGGCAACTTCGTCGTGTAGAGCGTCAACTCTGCGTTCGGTAGCGGTGACGTGTTGTTGAACGAGATGTCTGGACTTGTCACGAGCTTCGGCGAGTAGCTGGTCGGCTTGAGCTCGAAAGCGAGAAGCGGCTGTAGCGACTTGTCGTTGCATAAAGTCACGAAGGGCGACGTCAAGATCTTCAGGGATTCCACGAAGCGGTTCATGTCGCTCAGCAGGTGTGGGATGCTGCTCCGGACCAGGTGAGGCGAGTCCAGGATATGGTGCGGCTTGTGCGGCGGCTGCGGCGGCATTTTCTTGAGATGACAAGGTGGGTGCCAGCTCGATGTCACGCGCGAGCTGTGAGCCGAACCTGCTGTTGGCCCAGTGGTCGGCGGCGCCCAGGAGCGGGTCAGCAGGAGGATGACCAGGCGGTGGCATATCGTCATCTTCATGGCCACGTGGGCGGCTGCGGCAGCGGCACGGCCTCCTGATCTGGCTGAAGATCGCGCTGAAGTTGGCGGCGGTCTCGCAAAGCTTCGGCCAGTAGCGCGTAAGGGAGCACCAGCGGGGCCTTGGCTGCTGAAGCCCGTGTGGCCAAACTGTCCGGGATGTTCGCGAGCTGCGCGTCGGCCGTCACGGCGATGCTCTTCGCGGCGGGGCTGGCGGTCGTCACCACGCTCGGGACGGCGAGGCTTGTCACGGCGATGCTGGCGGTCTTCGCGTCTGCTGCGGGACGTAGGTCCGTTCGATGCGGACTGGCTTCGGTCTGAGGAGGCGGCCGACATGATGTCGAAGTAGCTGGTCGTGGTGGTCGCGGGCGCTGGAAGCCAAGCACCTGCAGAGATTCTGGTCCAGAACGTGGCGGCTGAGGCACAGGTCCAGGAGGCGGTCGCTGAACGTGGCAGCTTGGCTCACGAGCCAGGGTTATGAAGAGCTCCGAGCAACACATTGCGACAGTTGTCAGCAGCTTGCACAGCGAGGGAGCGAATATGGAGGGGCGGCCGCTAGCCCGTGATTGTGGCGGCAAGCGTCTGGAAGCTGGATCGCTTGGGAGCCTACCCCGCGAAGGCAATGAATGGAACGACATTTGGCCCTGAGCCAAAATGGCTACGGAAGGAGGAGGAGGAGGAAGAGGAGGAGGAGGAGGAGAAGGAGGACGAGGAGAAGGACGAGGACGAGGAGGACGAGGAGGAGGAGGAGGAGGAGGAGGAGGGGGAGGAGGAGGAGGAGGAGGAGGAGGAGGAGGAGGAGGAGGAGGAGGAGGAGGAGGAGGGGGAGTAGGAGGAGGAACAACAACGAAGAGGAAGATGAGGAGGGAGGCAGACGAAGAGTATGCGGAGAAGGAAGAGGGGAGAGGGAAGGCAGGAGCACGCAGACGACGAAACGGAGGATGGAGAGGACGGTGTCCTCCGCCACCACAAGGCGCGTTGTCGCAGACGCTGCCGCCACCGAGACTCATCTGCGACATCCGCCTGATGCCGTAGTGCCTGGAGGCCTCCTTCTTGATCTGCTCGCGGTCCGCGAGCCGCTCCACGCCTGAGGGCGAACCCCCCCGCGATGCTCACGGACAAGTCTTCGCTATCCTCGGATTCTGGGGGCCCTTACCGGGTCTCGGGGCCGTCGGACACCGACTCAGGATGAAAGGCCAGCCCCAGGGAATGGACCGTCGACGTCATGAAACCCAAAGGACGTCGGGGGTCGGGGAGCGGAAAGCATCCGACGCCCAGCGGCCCACAGGCCCATCTGGGGCCGATCGGCCACGCGCAGAGACCTGCCCCAAGCAACAGTGGTCTCTGGCGCGCGGCCCCAGGAGAGCCAGGGAGGAGGACAACACCCAGGCGCAAAGGGAACGCCGCTGCCGCAATCGACCCAGCATCCGGGGGACTCCAGCGGGCCCGCAGCGAAGGCCACTGGAATGTCGCTCTTACGCGCAGACGAGCCGAGATCTCGAGTGGCTGTGGCATCCCGGCCTGGCCAGGGCAGCCGCCCACAGAAGTCTGGGCAATTCTGGGGCCGTGAATGCTCGAGCGGTGGCCGACGCTGCCGCTCACCCGGGGCACCGCTGATGAGGACGTCGATCTCCTCTCGGGAATCCCACAGCATACCGATACTGCTACTCCCAGGACCTCTCTCGGAGTGCGTTCTGACCAAGAATGCAAGGCGCCACCAGCCCTGGTGACGAGGGCCTCCCAGAGGGCCCAAGAAAGCGAAACCGAGGAAGGGCAGCGGTGTCGGGACATTTTTCCTCCTCTGATCCCCGATCCTCAGGCCACTTCTTGACGATCGGCTCGAAGCGCTCCTTCGTCAACTGGGCCATGATGCAGAAAGAGTTCGCCCGCACGTACGCCGTGCGGGGCACTCCCGTGAGGAGCGCGACCTCGCCAAAATACGCGCCCCTCTCCAGAGTCTTCAACTCCGTGACGGTGTCCTTGTCCAGGACGGCGCACCGCCCCCGCATGATGAAATACATGGAATCCCCGTAATCGCCGTAGCGGCATATCCAGTCGCCCGGCAGGAATATCACGTCCTCGGGTGGTAAGGCTTCGGGCTGCACAGGCAGCACACAGGCAGTCCCAGCTGGCGTCCACAGGCCCCCCGAGTAGCTAGAGGCGGTCTCAACACCTCAACCCTGGGGCGCGGAGCGTCCAAAGAGCGCCGCCAGCGGCGGCGCCAGGGTGTTGAGACCGCACCCGACGACTCGGGGGGCCTGTTGAGGCCCTCCGGGGCTACCTCAGGGAGCTGCCTGGTGCGCGACCCCACGCCCCAGAAAGGTACCGATACCACGACTCCCCGGGCCTTTTCTCAGGTTGCATTCTGAACTTCGAGAAGAATCCAGCCGTGGCGACGAGGATTCTGCACGACGTGCAACATTGTCGGTATCCTTGTAGCCCCCGGTCCTCGAGCTTCACGATGATCTCCCGGATCACCCGCGGCCGCGCCTTCCGGAACAGGCCGCTCTTCCCCACGAGGTCCAGGTACAGGTGCAGCTGCAACTCGAAGCGCAGCTGCGGGGACAGGTCCGCGAACAGGGCGTTGAAGAGCCGGGCGCTGCGGTGGATCCGCTCATAGGTGAAGAACGCGACGAGCCGCATCTGCAGGTTGGCCGGCAGCCCGAGGATCCGCATGGCCTCCTGCACGGACCTCGTGTGCTCGTTCTGCTTCGTCTCAAGCGCCCCCATCCGCTGGATCAGGAGCACTACCTTCAGAGGGGGCACAGACTCCGATACCCGATGACACGGCTGGATTCGCCTCGAGGCCCCGGTCAGCATGCACCCCACGAGAGAGCCGTGGAGTTGAGGTGTGGGTATCTGTTCGTTCACCCAGGCCTTCCCGAACACAAATGCATGCACGAGCACGCCCACGGGGGCGCAGAGAGTCACGAACGCGAGCTCGAGCGGGCCATAGGCGTCGCGGTCGATGCCCAGGAGCAGGTAGACGCCCTGGTTCAGCGAGAGAACGTACAGCCTCCAGAAGTCAAAGTCACTCTCGGTGTAACCCTCTGGCATGTAGTCCTCAGGGAAGTGCTGCGTTATCGTCTTCTCCTCCTCCCTGACCAGCATGAACCAGACACACGCAAGGAGGTGGCCGCCCATGAGCATCGCACCAGCCAGCTGCAGCAAGACAAAACGGACCGACGGAACGAAACGATGCTCTGGTGGCGTCCGTGTGATTCTCCAGCCTCTCAGCGCCTTGCGCGGGACCAAACCAGCTACGGTTACCAACTTTTGCTCAGCGTGTGGCGGCAGCGACCCCGGCGACACGCCATGCCTTGCGAGCGGCTGTCGCGTCGCTCCGCTCCACAGGGCGGGAGGCCGGGAAAGACTCGGGACGCTGACGCCTGGGAATTGACAAAATGTGTATGTGGTCGCGCCGAAGCGCGGAGGGCCCGAACTAGCGACGCGACACGCTAAGCAAACGGTTATGACAGTACTCGTGCCCCCGCCAAGACTAGGGGGAGACGACGAAGGGGCACCAGCGAAAGGCTGGGGGACCCGCAACGATTTTGCACCGGGAGGCAGGTGGGACAGTGGGAGAGCAAAACAAAGGTTAGATTCGCACGGGGACCCGAATGATGAGACGAAAATAGATCAGGAAGCGGCATGGGAACAGAAAGCACCATAAACAGAGGAACCTCATGAGAAAGAGCACAAGGGAGAAATGAGAGAAGATATGAGGGAGGACGGTGACAACGAGGACGACAAGGAGGAGGGCAAGGAAGCTGAGGAGCAAAAGACAGGAACAGGAGCCTGATTAAGACGAGAGGGAAGAGAAGCAATACAGGTCCCGGCATCCCCCTCTCTCTCTTTATCCACCTTCCCCCCACTCAATCCACGTCCCCCGATCCCAGCCTCTAGCCCAACCCTCCCTACTGCAGTCTTAGTCCTCCTCCTCATCCTCCTTTTCCACCCCTGATTCCCTCCTCTCTCCAACTCTTCCTCATCCCTCCTCGTGGCCCTTCCGCCCCAAGCTGTCTAAAACCTCCTAGACTCAACGACCCTCCATTTCCACCCTAGCCCCTAGACGCTCATAGATCCGCCCTGAAGACAAACAAACACATTCAATCCTATCCTCTTCCTCCTCCTCCTCCTCCTCCTCCTTCGCCTCCTCCCCCACTAAAACCACTAGTATCTCATAACCATCGCCCAGAAACTCGATGGCCCCCTTGGAACCACTGAAATCAACCTGACACACTGCCCCCTCGTCTTCCCCTCTCCATCCGCAGGCATCCTGCTGCAGACTCTCCCACTCCTCCTCTTCCTCCTCCTCCCCCTCCTCCCCCTCCTCCTCCTCCTCCTCCTCCTCCACCACCTCCTGTAGCCACCTGTTCCTCTTGCAGCCTGCTCCGCAGCTTCCTCGTCTTCCGCCTCCTCCTCATCCTCATCCTCCTCCTCCTCCTCTTCCTCCTCCTCCTCCTCCTCCTCCTCCTTTTCCTCCTCATCCTCCTCCTCTTCCTCCTCCTCCTGCTCCTCCTCCTCCGCCTTCTCTTCCCTCTCCTCCTCCGCCCTCCTCCTCCTTCTCCTTCTCCAGCAACTCGTCCTCCTTCCTCCCTCACTCCCTCCATCACGCCTTCCTCCAGCAACCCCCTTCCCCCTCCCCCCCCCTCCCCCTTCTGGGAGAACGTCTTCCGGTCTTCCGCCCTGGGGGCCTTGAGCAGCGCCCCCCAGCGCGCTACGCCCTCCGTGCCCGGGCCGCCGGCGGACAGGCTCTCGAGCAGCACGAGGGGCACGCAGGACACCACGTCCATCCTCGCAGCGGGGGGGGGGGAGCGGGAGGCCCCTTGCGGGGGAGGGAGCGGGGGAGGGGAAGAGGGCGGGGAGGAGGAGGGTGGGAAGGGTGATGGAGAGGATACGGGGGGAAGGAGGATAGGGGGAGGAGGAGGAGGAGGAGGAGGAGGAGGAGGAGGAGGAGGAGGAAGAGGAGGAGGAAGAGAAGGAGGAGGAGGAAGAGGAAGAGGGAGGGAGGGAGGAAGAAGTGTGGAGGCGGAGCGTTAGAATAGGTAGGAGGGAGAGGAGGAGAGAGAGAGAGAGAGAGAGAGAGAAGGAGGAGGAGGAGGAGGAGGTGGAGGAGGAGAAGGAGGAGGAGGGAGGGAGGGGGGAGGGGGGTGGGAGGGAGGATCAGGAGGAGGCGAGGGGGGGGGGGGGGGAGTAGACAAGAGGGGCAAGAGTCCGAGGATACGAGAAGCGAGAAGTCGGGGTGGACGCAGGAGGAGAGAGGAGAAGCAGGGAGGAGGCGGCGAACGAGGAAACTAATTCCGAGTGTAAGGGAAGAAAATAAATGATGCCGAGGAGGAGGACAGAAATTTGGACAGCCAGGGGGGAAGAGCGGATGAGCAATTGGAGGACGAGGAGGGAACAGGTGGGGGAGGGAAGAAAGGAGGGAGGAGTGAGTGGGTGGAGGAGAGAGCTGGAGGAAAGAAGGGACAGGAGGATAAGGACGGAGGATGGGAGAAGCAGGAAGAGTACGTGCCTCAGTGGTACGCGAAGCTTCGCATGGAAGCGTACGAGATGAGTCCGAGCAAGCCTGGTAGGCACGGGAGGCGAAGCGCGGCCAGCTCGGGCAGATCAAGCACATCAACGGCAAGCTGGCAGGCTTGAGAGGAACAGATCGCGAAATCGGATCGGATCGGAGACGGATCGGATCGCTAGCGAATGGTCCCGAATCAAGTCAGAATCGGATCGCCTTGCCGCCTGGCGCTGTCTGGCCCTGGCCGGTACCGATGAATCGGGCCGAGTCGAATGTCATCGGGATCGTGGCCCAGGCCGGCGAAGCGAACCGCACCGCCAGGCCCGGCCCAGGCGGCCCAGGCCGACAGGAACGCGGGGATCCGAGTGGACGGAGTCGGAGGATGCCGCCGCATCGCCGATGCCTCGGCGACGTCGGCGTGGAGAGAATCGGGCTCGAAGTCCAGCCGCAGCGGCGACGCATAAAGACGGTGCGGCGCGACCCTCCGATCCCATTCTCGTAGGAGGGCCAGTTGAGACGACGGTGGCTCTCCCTCGAGAAGGGGGATTTACTACAGAATCGATGTGCCCCCACAATTGGTTCTCTTGTCGGACCCAGGAGACATGCGTAGAACGTTCGTGGATCTACGTAACATGCTATGTGTTTTCATGGGTTCGACGAGATTAGTCAATTCTGTAGTCGATCCCCTACTCGACTCCCGCCTGGCCCACCTCCGCTACCAAGAACTGCCCACTGATCTGCTCCTGCGTTCGCTCTGACTTGCTTTCGACGCGGATCCAGCCGTGGCGACGAGGAGCAAGCCTCCAGGAGGCCCAAACGAGTCAACACAACGCCAGGGATGGCCGCCGTTGCCTCGGGTGGCCCTCCTCCGAATCTGCTCGGACCCAGTCTGTGGCTACCTACCAGACCACCCCAACCCAACCCGAAGACCCGAATCTGACCCGAACTTCGGGTTGGGGGGGGTACGGATACCATGTGTTTTTTCAACGTTCCCCGACCCCCCCCCCACTGGAAATGGAAGGCAAATTGACGGGCTTCGGGTTGGGCTGGGGTGGTTTGGTGGGTGGTGAGCCTGGGCGGCCCAGGCAGTGCAGACCACCGAGACGACGCCACGCCAGGCCCAGCAGAGCGGCAGAGCCGCGAGGACCTGGGCGCGGAGCGCCCTGGGAGCGGGACCGCCGCGCCGACCGGGAGGACGCGGGGGCGGACGCGAAGCACCCAGGGCGCCGCATGCCAGGCAGAACAAAGACCGTGTGGCGCTGGCGGGGAAAACCAGCTTCCACAACCAGTGCTTGCACCCAGGGTCACTTCCTCGACTTGCTCTCGAGGGCCTGGGTGAGTGAGCCGAGGCTTCGCCGCGTCGCCGCCCGCGGGCGCCTGGCGCTGGCAAGGTACGCCGAGACTTCGGCCAGTGCCCGGCCGTGGGAGCGTCGTGGACGCCCAGCGCTGCACAATTGCTTTGCTCCCCGAGGACACGGAGCGGGACTCCCAGGGGTGACCAGCACACCCTGGGCCCGGCGGCCGCGGTGCGCGGTCGTCCTTCGTCGAAGGCGCGGGGCGGGATACCCAGGGAGCACCGGCACACTTTGCGCCCAGCGGCCGATATCAGCACGGTGTGCGAGGAGGGTCGGGAGTTCTCATCGTTCAGTCCAACAACCCAGCCCTATCGGGTGGGGAGCTGCTCCGGATCTCTCCCACGTGAGTCTCAACAAAGCAGCAAGGCCTGCGAGGAGAGGGGCAACGGAGCTCAGGTCGAAGGACGGTACGAGGCACGGTCCTCGACGCTGGCTGGGACACCAGGCATTAGATGCTCGTTCTTGGGGCATTCCTGGAGCCACTCACTCCAACCATGCGTCGATGCTGCATCGAACATCCGTCGACTTGAATCAAGCTTGAGCCGACTGGAGCCTAACTGCGTAGTCGAACTCGAGTCGAACAGATTCGTCAGGTGGGCCCCCAAAAGTCGCCTAAACGAGCATTTAACATGTGGTGTCCGTTCCATGGGAGCCTACGCGGCCACCAACGCTGTCCTATTTGGGCATGACTTGGACCAGATTTGGAACGGATCTGGGACCGGATTTTGTCCGCGCTCGGACCAGGTCCCTTCACAAGGGACACAGGGGAAACAGGAAGGGAGAGGAGGAGCAGGAGGACAGGCCAGACGCGATACAAATGCAGAACAAGTCCACTCCGATATGTCGCTCTCCAGGGCTCACAGGCACGATCCCGTCGGGGGGTCCACGCGACGACGCTCCAGCAGGAGGGCTGCGCCAGGCAGGGCTCGGAGACCGACGGGGCCACGGCACACTGAGGCCATGTACGCCGGCGACCGCCAGCGCCACTGACGGCCCGGATGCCGTAAGAGCGCCAGCGCCCGAAGGCGCGGCGCAGCCGCCGAGACTGAGCCTCAGATCTCCGCCGATCTCAGGCGGCCGTCTCCTCCCTCCCCTCCCCCCCGCTCCGCTCCTCCTTCCTCCATGAGTTGGCATTGGCATGTCGGGGGGCGTTTTTTTTTTTCCAACGTTCCACTCTTCGCTGGCGACTCGACCAGCACGCATTCAAAAACGTTTCCCTGGGATGGGGACGTCGGGCAGGCGGCATGGTGATACGTAAAAACGCAAGTGGGACAAACAGTAAGAAAGCGATCAGAAAACAAGCAGGTGGGCCACGGGCCGATCTGGGACCTGAAAACGTAACAAAAAAAGGCGCTCAACACGCGGAAGCCGTCGATCTTGAAACCGCTAGAGAAAAACGCCCCCAGCGTTTTAATAACCATCATCTGCGCTCGGCCACTCCGAAGGGTGTGGTTTGCAAAGGGTGTGGTTACCAGCCAGCACCCTGGAGGGCACCCTGGGGGCGGGCGGGGACCTCGATAAAACTCTCCGCCGCGCCCCGAGGTCCGACGAGGACGGTGTCGCACCCCCCAGGCCCCCACGGCGCCGACCGCAGACCACACCCTGGCGTAACCACACCCCTTGCAGCCGCCGAAGGGCTCCCCCCTTCTCGTCCTCCGGATCCTTCTCCTTACCCTTCGTCTGGCCATAACCTCGAGAAGTATTTCACCCCCCCCCCGTGATCGTTAGCACTGGGCAACAACAAAAATCCAGGGGGCGATTTTAGCCCCCCCAGGCTTGTTTTCAAAATCCAGCTCTAGCCTTAGCGCCGCGCACACGGTTTTTCTCACGATGCACGAGGTTCACGGATTGAAGGCGGCTCGATTTTCAAAGATAACTCTCGCCTTAGCGCCGCGCGCATTGGTAGTTTAAACTGTGCACGAGTTTCACGGCTTGAAGGCGGCTCGTTCTTTTTATCTAGCTCTCGCCTTAGCGCCGTGCAAATTCGCGAATCAAAATTTGCAGGAGACTCACGGATTGAGGGCGGCTCGGTTTCATAATGTAGCTCTCGCCTTTGCCGCCCCCGCCCTATGCCAATCCTTCACGAGAAATTGATTCCCGTCAGCTGCCCTGGGGGGTGGCCCACCCCAGGGTATCGCGCCCGCCCCACACGGAGCGTTATCTTAGCACCGCGGAACGGTGAACGAGAATCCCGCCCGCGAGTAGTAGTAATAGAAATAATAAAAAGACCACTGACACTAGCACTCGTTTGAGTAATTCAAGCAAGCGTAATAGTGGTAGTAGTTGTAGCAGTAATACTACTACTAATGATAATACCAATACTACTACTACTACTACTACTACTACTACTACTACTGCTACTACTACTACTACTACTACTACTACTACTACTACTACCACCACCACTACTACTACTACTACTACTACTACTACTACTAGTACTAGTACTAGTACTACTACTACTACTACTACTACTACTACTACTACTACTACTACTACTACTACTACGACGACGACGACGACGACGACGACGACGACGACGACGACGACTACGACGACTACTACTACTACTACTAATAATAATACTAATAATAATAATAGAATGCGCGCGGCGCTAAGGCGAGAGCTACATTTTGAAACGAGCCGCCTTCAATCCGCGAAGCTCTTGCAAGTTTTTGCAGTACATGTGCGCGGCGCTAAAGCGAGAGCTACAAACCGCCCTCAATCCGCGAAGCTCTTGCTAATGTTTGGAACGAATGCGCGCGGCGCTAAGGCGAGAGCTACATCATCCTTCCGGTTGAAGGAAAAAGCCCTTCCCCGTGCGGGAAGCGTTACCCTTTTGCGAGAAGGGGGGGTCTTAAATACTTGTGAAGGTTACTTGGCAAGCTGGGCACTCTACCCCGAGGCCTGGGCGAGCCCAGGGTAGACGCGTGCCGGCCTGTCGTAGCGTTCGGCCGCGCGGAGCGGAGGCCCACCCTGTGCAGCGTAGCCTGGCACCCGAACAGGCTTTCATGCCTTCAGCTTTCAACCCTGTCTTCGAACGTGGCTCTTCGAGCAGTGGAGCTAGATTCCAATAGTAGCCTGTGAAGAGGGAGCTTGGAGAGAGTGTGCATTGAAACATCGCTGATGAGTCTTGAATTTGCACTGGCCCATCTCCCTCCTCCTCGAGCGTACCCAAGAGAAGTCCAGTCTGCTCTCTCTGCCTCCGCCTGGCCCCGCAACAATGGCTGGCCTGCGGACCTGGTGCCTCACTGCAGGCATAGCGGAAAGACACGCTTGCTCTGAGAGGGGGGCGGGGTCGGGGGGGACCGAATGGTGATGTGGAGATAGGAAGCAAATACACACACAAGCACTGAATCGATCCTTCTCCCATCCCCGTCCTCCTCCTCCCTTGTCGCGGGGCCGCACGAGGGCGCAACGGCGCGGCCGCGGGCCGCCCGATGGGACATCTCCCGGGCACGGCCTCGGAGCGACTGGGGGAGACATCCGTCTGGCGGGCGGCGGGGAGGGGCACCCGCGCCCACCCTTCTGCGGCAACGCACGGGGGCCTCCCGTGCCAGCCTGCTGGCCCTGGCGAATCGACGCTGCATCGACGCTACATCGACGCTCAGTCGACGCCGACGCCGATGCACCCTGAAAACGGGATGACGAGGACACGCAAGGCTCCCGCGATTTGATGCAGAAGCTTCCCGTTCGAGCGTATGCTCGACTCGGCGGCCTCTCATCGGGGATGGACAGACCCCCCTTTAGCAAAACGTGGTTTAGTGAAGACGACCTGAGGCCCAAACCTGGCCGGCGCAAGCCTGGAAAATAACGGCCACGGCGCGATCTCGAGAACCGAAAACGGACAATTCACTAATCGACGTGTCACTGTTGGGGGTTCTGTCCACCCCCGATCTCAGAGGCTCCGGCCTGTGCCGAGGAGCCGCTCCTGTGGCTCCAGGGGCAGGCTCAGGGAGCTTCTCGGAAGGCCGAGGCCCCCCGGAGCCCTCTGGAGAGGTCCGCCCACTCTGCCTTCCCCCCTCGGTGGCTCAAAGATGGGGCCCTGAGGGATGAGGGACGGGGTCCCGAGGACGGGGTGCCTCGAGCAGTGCAGATCCACCCTCGGATCTCCTCCTGTCCTGAGGGCCCCATCCGTCAAGACCCCATCTTGGCACCGCCGACCCCCCAAGGCGCGCCGCCGATGGACGCCCCGCCTGCGCCGTGGTGGCCCGTGCCATCCCCCCGCCGCCCACTCTGCCTTCCAACCCTGGGCGCGCCGCCCTACGGCAAGTTCGCGTCGTGACGGCCCCGGTGTTGGCCTCCGACACCGCGTGAATCGTCGGGAGAGCCCAGACTCGAATCGCGGCGATCGGTCGGCGGAACTCGGCAGTCGAGTCGGAAGAAGTCGAATCGGCGGAAATCGGCAGGCCAGTAGGCCTCCGCTGAGAAATCGGGATCCAGGTCGGAACCACAAGTCGAATCGAATCGGAATCGGAATCGGAAGCCATCGAAATCGAATCGAAGCGAATCGGAGGAATCAGAACGAGCCCTGGAATCGTCCGAGATCGACTGGCGCCCTGGGCGCGCCGCCGATGGACGCCCCGCCTGCGCCGTGGTGGCCCGTGCCATCCTCCCGCCGATCCCTGCCGCGGTTCGGGGAGACGTGAGACTCGGGTCCGGCCTGACGGGGCCCTGCTGAAAATGACGAGGCCCGGTCTGAGAGACTTGACGCCAGCTCCCGCTGCAGGCATCCCACGAAAAAACTGGACCGTCGAAAGCCGGGGCGCACTCGCCAGAGAGCGTCGGCGAACCCGCGCTCCGGCGCACGCGGGCCCCACGCTTCCCCGAGCTGAGGAGGCGGACGCCGCCCCTGCCCCCCCCCCCCCCCCCCCCCCCCCGCGAAGCCCTTCGCTCCTCCCTCGCTGGCGCCGGCGCGGGGTCGCAGGGGCCGAGGGGGGTGCGCTTCGGCGAAGGGGCCCTGGGGGCGCTTCGGCACGGCGCCCCGCGCCCCAAGCGCCGCAGGGAGGAGGGAGGGGGGAGAAAGGAGGAGGACGAGGAGGAGGAAGGAGGCAAAGGTCGAGGGGGGCGGAGCAGCGGAAGGCGTCCAGAAGCGAGGATCTCGCAGGTTGTAGAGCAAGATCCGCTTGGCAGAGCAGGACTCGCGCCCCGTCTCGACATGGAGGATCGTGGTGTGAAGCTGCACAATCAAGAAGGCCGCGTACGCGAGATCGATAACCTCAAGTCGCGGATTGAATGTATGCGGGACGTTCTCTTCCGGCTGGGCCCCGCAGACGGTAGAAAATTATCCTGGCGAAGGACCCGACCATATGATATTGTGAATACCGCAATTATGAATCCCATGTTTGCCCGCGCTCCCTATGGGGCCACGAACCGTGTGGGGGCCGAACCGTGTGAGGGGTGTGCAAAAATGGGGCGGCGGCGCCATGCGAACTGCGCCACTGGGATCTTAGGTGGAGCTCTCTATGGGGCCACGAAACGTGTGAGGGGTGTGCCTAAATGGGGCGGCGGCGCCATGCGAACTGCACCACTGGGACCTTAGGTGGAGCTCCTTATGTGGCCACGACACGCATGAGGGGTCTGCCACAATAGGGTGGCGGCGCCATGCGGGCGGTGGCACTGGGGCCTTAGGTGGAGCTCCCTATGCCACAACACGTGTTTCGTGTGTGCCAAAATGCGGTGGCGGCGCCATGCGGGCTGCGCCGCTGGGACCCTAGATGGAGCTCCCTATGGGGCCACGAAACGTGTGAGGGGTGTACCAAAATGGGGCGGCGGCGCCATGCGGGCGGTGCCACTGGGACCTTAGACGGAGCTCCCCATGGGGCCACGAAACGTGTGAGGGGTGTGCCCAAATGTGGCGGCGGCGCCATGCGGACGGTGGCACTGGGGCCTTCGGTGGAGCTCCCTATGGGGCCACGAAACGTGTGAGGGGTGTACCAAAATGGGGCGGCGGCACCATGCGGGCGGTGGCACTGGGACCTTAGATGGAGCTCCCTATGCCACAACACGTGTTTCGTGTGTGCCAAAATGCGGTGGCGGCGCCATGCGGGCTGCGCCGCTGGGACCCTAGATGGAGCTCCCTATGGGGCCACGAAACGTGTGAGGGGTGTGCCAACATGGGGCGGCGGCGCCATGCGGGTGGTGGCACTGGGGCCTTCGGTGGAGCTCCCTATGGGGCCACGAAACGTGTGAGGGGTGTATCGAAACAGAGACATGCGGAGAGCAAAGGCAAGGAGGGGGAGGAGGGAGGAGGAGGAGGAGGAGGAGGAGGAGGAGGAGGAAGAGGAGGAGGAGAAGGAGGAGGAAGAGGAGGAGGAGGAGGAGGAGGAAGGAAAGAGGAGAACGCGGGGCACCGTCTCTTCAAAACGAGGACCCAACACCACAGGATGGTTGGGAACAACGAGCCCATATCGACATCGGTGTTCCACAAATGTGAAATCGTCTTTTCGGAGCCTAATGCCTGGTGAAATCGTTATTTAGAAGCCTTGCATTGCTGAGCACTGCAATGCAAAACCTCATGTCATGACTAAGGACACCACTTCTCCAGGAGACCCAGAACAACTTTACTCAGTTACGATGGGGTCCGCGATGGGGGGCCACGAGCTACAATGGGGGATCGGGATACGGATTGGGATAGAGGTATGGGCATAGGGCTAGGGATAGGGATACGAACATAGGGATAGGGATCGGGATTGACCCGTGGATAAAGTATGGGGGTATAGAAAAGATAGGGTACGGATAGAGATGCAGGGGTTGGGACGGCAATCGGGTGCAAAAGGAGGCAACGGGAGGCCACGGGAAGCAACGGGAGGCCACGGGAGCACACGGGAGGCCACGGGGGACAACGGAAAGCAACGGGAGGCAACGGGAGGCAATATGAGGAAATGGGAGACAACGTCGCCCCCCCGATTCTGGATCCGGCCGGCAATTCACTTACAAGTTTCTTCGAGTCTTCCTCTTCCTATATGTTTGAAGCCGGGGGGCGTGGGAAAGCCGACCCCCCCAAAGAACACCCCTCGAAAACCGGGGGGGTCACTACCGGTTCGAACCCCCCCCCCCTCCTCGAGAACCAAGGGGGGGTGCGGACAGTGGTGGGGACGGTGGTGGTGGGGACAGTGGTGAGGGGACAGCGGGACAGTGGTGGGGACAGTGGGACAGTGGTGGGGACTGTAGTGGTGGGGACAGTGGTGAGGACAATGGTGGGAACAGTGGGGACAGTGGACAGTGGTGGGGACGGTGGTGGTGGGGACAGTGGTGTGGGGACGGGGAGGCGGAAACAGTGGGACAGTGGAGGGTACAGTGGTGGTGGGGACAGTGGTGAAGGCGGTGGCGAGGACGGCGGTGGGACAATGGGACAGAGGTACAGTGGGGACAGTGGTGGGGACAGTGGGGACAGTGGTGGGAACAGTGGGACAGCTCAGTGGGACAGCGGAGGAATCAGTGGGACAGTGGGGACAGTGGGGATAGTCGGGCAGTGGTTGTGGCCGTGGAGAAAGTGGGGAGAGTGGAACCGTGGTGGGAACAGTGGTGGGGACAGTGGGGACAGTGCGACAGTGGTGGGAGTACTGGTGGGGACAGTAGGGACGGTGGTGGAACCAGCGGGGACAGTGGTGGTGAGGACAGTGGTGCTGGGAACAACAGTGGGGGATGTGGCGCGGACGGTGGTAGGGACCGGGAATCGTTTGCTGGCGGTGAGTGGGGGGGTGGGGAGGGGTTCGAACCGGTAGTGACCCCCCTCCGGTTTTCGAGGGGGGGGAAAGTTCGAATCGGTAGTGACCCCTCCCGGTTTTCAGGGGGGGGGGGGTTAGGGGAGGGGGGGGGGGTTGCCGGGGGAGGGAGGGGGGGGTCCAGCAGGGGAGGGGGATTTTCGGAGGGGGGGGGGGAACACCGGGTTCCGGAGGAAAAGGGTGGCAATTTTCCACAATAAAGCGGCGGTGCGCTCTCTCCGCGGTGAAGATCGTTGTTGCTTGTTTGTTAGTTGCTGCTGTTGTTGTCATCATCGCCCACCCGCCCGCGGCCCACCTGCGAACCGCCCGCGAGCCGCCCGCGGCCCGCCCGCGACACACAACTTTGCTTCGACGAAACTTCGGCGCCTGCAGCGAGGCTTCCCGAGGCAACCAGGGTCTACCCGAAGCTCTGAGGGAGGATCCAGGGGCCATCAGGACGCCAAGGCAGGTGGCCCCCCACAGGTTCCACACGGAAGAGCCAAGTCCACGTGCCCCAGGCCCGACGCAAGCTCCTGGAAGGCCGCCACGGCGAGCGCCAGAAAGAACGCCCAGACGCCCAGGAGGATCTTCACGTACTCGAGAAGTGTCGCGCCAATGGAAAACACGCGCACCATCCTTATGAGGGGCAACGTTAGGGGAGGAAACATCGACCTGGTGTCGGCGATGCATTGCCAGTAGATGAGCGATGGGCCACCGATAGGTCTCCGAACGCTCCTGGGCGGGGTGGGCTGCCAAGCCCTCTTATCTGCAGTGAACGGGCGATGGGAGGTCGATGCTTCGCCCCCTGAGCCTACGGTCAGGAGCTTTTCGCTAGCGTGTCGCGGCGGCGGCCCCGGCGACACGCTGTGCCTTGCGAGCGGATGGCGTGCCGCTACGCTCCGCGGAGCGGGAGGCTCAGAATGGCTCGGGACGTTGACGCTGGGGGGCCAGGCAGTAGATAACGTGTCGCGCCGAAGCGCGGTGGGCCAGAACTGGCGGCGCGACACGCTGAGCCACAATTCCTGACCGCATCCCCCCCCTGACGCTGCCCCTGAGCACCATCCTGTCCGCCGCTCCGGGCTCCGAGTCCATCTCGAAGGCGTCCAGGTAGGAGAGCCTGACCCGCTCGTCCCGGAGCTGCAGCCGCATCTCCTCGTGGTACGTGTGCTCCCTGACGACCCGCAACAACTCGTTGGACCGCCTCCTCCTCGCCGGCCTCAGGCTGCTGCCGTCCGCCGACGAGTCGTCGCTGGTGCGCCTGGTAGACGACCTCACGCGGCTGCCCCACACGCGCGGAGTGTCGTCGTTGCTGTTGACCTCAAGAGACCCGCCCCCCCCTCGGCGATCAGAACTCGTCCGCGGCCTGATCTCGGAGACTCTGCTGCAGAGGGCCCCGCCCGCCCCACGCAGCGCGGAGCACCCCGCTGATATCAAGGGCCCCTGATCGCCTTGCTCGGTCCCGGCTGATCGACCGATGAGCGCTGCGATCGAGCCCTCCTCGACGGGTCTGGGTCTGCTGATTCCTGCTCATCATCGCCATCCTGCTCAACACAGCCACCCTGATCATCATCATCATCATCATCATCATCATCATCATCATCATCATCATCATCATCATCATCATCATCATCATCATCATCATCAACATCAACATCATCAACATCAACATCATCATCATCACCATCATCATCATCATCATCAGCATCAACATCATCATCATCATCATCATCATCATCATCATCATCATCATCATCATCATCATCATCATCATCATCATTATCATCATCATCATCATTCTCAGTTTCCGGCCTCCTCATCCTCCTGTGCCCCGTCGTCCCCGATTCCTCTTCGGAACACGCGCACTCGCACTGAAGCTCACGTCTCCAACACGCCTCCACATGAACCTTCGCCTCCCCTCCTCTGTCTATTCCCACTCATGTCCTCCGCCTCCTCTTTTTCCTGGTCCGCCTCCTCCTTCCCCACCTACTCGTTCCGCTCCCTCTCCCCCTCCCCCCACCCCTCTTCCTCATTTTCATCCTCCCTCACTCTCCCCGCCTCTCTGTCTCCGTTAACACCAGGAAGAGTCGTCCCCATCCCTCCTCCTTCTGTGGCAACCCATGGGAGCCGACCATGCCATTTAGCTGGCTCTTGGCAATCGACGCTGACCGATGCTAATCGACGCTAATCTCATGAATTGCCGAAAACTAGCGCACGCTTGATGCACTCTAGAGACGGAGTTCCGAGGGCACACAAGAACCCCATGTTCCTATCGAATCCTCCTCCTCCTCCTCCTCCACCTCATCCTCCTCTGCCGAGGTCTCCCGAGATGCGGGCGCCGAAGAAGCTGAAGCGCTGCCAGGAGAGCCGCACTGACTGCACCCGGCGCCGCCACCCGGTGGTCAGCGAGGCGACGGAGCTCACGGCGCTCGCCTGCGGCCAGCCCTCTCGCAGCACATGGGGCCTCACAAAAACGCTATTTCCTCCTCCTCCTCCTCCTCCTCCTCGCGTTCGCCCTCTGCTCCTCCTACTCCTCCTCCTCCTTCTCCTCCTCCTCCTTCCTCGTCGCCTCACCCACGCACTTCCTCACACCCTCCCCTTGGAGACTCTGGAGTCTCGGACAAATCGATCCATCCTGGGTGCACCTCCCTCGTTCTGCTCCTCTTCCTCCTCCTCCTCTTCCTCCTCTTCCTCTTCTTCCTTCACTCCTTTTCCTTATAACTCGCTCCTTCCTGTCGCGCCCCGAGGCCGGTCGAAAGGGCGGGCCGGGCGTTTCGCGTGAGACTTCCTCACCATTGACAACCCTGAAAGATAAAAGCTAGGAGCAGTTTCGCAGATGGAGGGCGGGCGGTTTTCAACATGTGGCTCTCGCCTTAGCGCAGCGCGCACATTCGCTAAACTTTGTAACAGCTTCACAGATGGAGGGCGGGTTGTTTTCAAAATGTGGCTCTCGCCTTAGCGCAGCGCGCACATTCGCTAAACTTTGTAACAGCTTCACAGATGGAGGGCGGGTTGTTTTCAAAATGTGGCTCTCGCCTGTAGCGCCGGGCACACTCGATTTCAACTTTTGCAAGAGCTTCGCGGAATGAGAGCGTTTTTTTTTTTTTTTTTTGTTTTTTCAAAATGTGGTTCGTGCCTTAGAGCCGTGCGCACATTGGATTTCAACATGTGCAAGAGCTTCGCAGATTGAGGGCGGGTGGTTTTCAACATGTGGCTCTCGCCTCAGCGCCGCGCACAATCGTTTTAAGAACTTGCAAGAACTTCGCGGATTGATAGCGGGTCGTTTTCAACATATGGCTCTCACCTTAGCGCCGCTTGCATTCGTTTCAAACAGTTGCACGAGCTTCACGGATTGAGGGCGGATCGTTTTCAACATGTGGCTAGCGCCGTACGCACTTGTTTTAAACAATTGCAAGAGCTTCGCGGATGGAGGGCGGGTCGATTCCAAAATGTGGCTCTCGCCTCAGCGCCACGCACATTCGTTCTAAGAATTTGCAAGTTGAGGGCGAGTCGTTTTCAACAGGTGGCTCTCGAGCGAACGCCGCGCACATTCGTTTCAAACATTCGAAAGAGATTCACTGATTCTCATGGTTAACGTACAAGAGACGGGGTTTTGGAACGATGCAAGAATGTCCAAGGTTGTCAGGGCGCAACAGTTACGCTGATTCGCGGTGTTGAAGTCCCAGGAATTGTGTTTTAGCACGATCCAGGACCGACAAGACGTACCAGTCCGGTTAACTCGTGGCGCTGAAGTCCTGAGAAGAATGTTGTGGCACACTTCAGGATTTTCGCACGGTTGCCCCCCTACGGGGCAATTCCCTCAGTGGACATGAACCCTTGTAGGGGGGAGGGAGCTTGGAGGGAGGGTGTATTCCAAGCATTGTTGATGAGTCTTGGGTTTACACTGGTCCTCTTCCTTCTCCTCCTCCTCCTCCTCCTCCTTCTCCTCCTCCTCCTCCTCCTCCTCCTCCTCCTCCTCCTCCTCCTCCTCCTCCTCCTCCCCCCACCCTTCCCCGACCCGCACCCTCACCCCTCCGCTTCCTCCTCGGGGAGGAAGGAGGAGCATGAGGGGGCAAGAGAAGGAGATCGGAGGAGAAAGAAGGCACTAAGAAGGAGGGAGGAGGAAGGATGGGAAGGGAAAGAGGAGGAAGGAGGATGAGGAGGAGAGTGCAGGGAGGATGAGGGGTGAGGAATGATCGAGGATAGAGGAATGAGGAAAGAGAGGGGGGGTGAGAAAGCGTGAGTTCACGAGAGGCAGATGAGCGGGAGGAGAACGAGAGAAGGGGAATGAAAAGGGACAGATGGGCGGGAGGGGAGGAGGGGGAGGAGGAGCAGGAGGAGGAAGGGGATGTTGACTGGAGGAGGATGCACACTGCGGGCTTACCATCCGACGTATGGGCAAACAAGATAAAACATCAATATACAAATATGTGACAATATGGCCGATGAGGGGGCGGACGACGCTAAATAGTGACACGTGTTGTTGTGATTGGTGTTGTTTGTGTGTTCTTGGAAGTCTAATGTCTGAACCAGGTAGTCCAACGTCCAACTCTCGCCGCCCATGTCGAAGCATGCCCTCCCAACCGTGCTGTCCAGGCGGAGGAACCATACAATCAGGAACTGTTGCTCCGCGTGTCGCGGAAGCGGCCCCGGCCACGACACGCTACGCCCTGCGAGCTGATAGCGTGTCGCTCCGCTTCACAGGGTAGGGGGCAGGGGAAAGCTCGAGGCGCTCACGCTCGGAAATGGGGAAATGGTTTGTGTGTCGCGCCGAACCGTAGTGGGCCAGATCCAGCGGCGCGACACGCTAAGAAGGAACCCGACTGTATACACCGACGTTTTTTCCGGCCCAACACTGGAACTCGCACAGGAAAGCGGACCCTGGTGTATACGGGATCCTGGTGTATAACTATGATGTTGTTTCGCTGTGCACCCGGGAAAATGGGGAAACAAGTATACATCATGCTACCCGGGCGTCGTCCCCGACCCTCAAAAAGGCCTGGGATTGAAAAACAGCCCGCCACTGGTAATGTATATGCTCCAGTTTCCCAGCTAAGTCAAAGCTCCTGGCCGCAATCTCAAGCCAGCCCACGGAAGCTCCGAGGCGCCCCCCCGAGGTGCCACACCTGGATGGACCAGCGAAGCACGGATGGCCCGGCTCAAACAGACGGGCCCGGGGAGCAGGCAGCGTGGCCCTTTCAGCTGCTCCTTCCGTCTACAGCGAGCTCCCGACGTCCAGCAGCTATCAGCGGAGTGCGCGCCCACCTCGCGAGACTCTGCGGTACAGTCACCGTCCAGAAGGAACCATGAATAAGGAACGAAGTGGCTCTTCTGGCCATGGCGAGCCTCGGTCACGCAGAGGTTCCCCACCCTGGACCTAAAGAACGGCGCAGAAACCAGAGCCCACCCGAGCCTGGTCTTTATTCCAGCGTCTTGACTGTAGCATGCCAGACACATGCAGGAGCGAAGTCAAACGCAGCGAGGAGACCGCATCCCACGAGAACGGGGCACACGCTGACGTGGATCGGGGGGATCAGCCCCCCCCCGCCCGATCTGACGACGGATCGCGAGGATTCGGGACTGGCCTGCGGCAGCTGGCTTCGGGCGGCACTACGCGCCTGCTCTCTGCCTTTCTCGCCACGCGCCACCTGCACTGACATCGAGACGGCGTGTCTTGGGCGGGCGCGCAGCCGCTGAGCCTGCACAGCTCGTGTGGCCTCATGGCTAAGGCGCCTCCCTCCTAAGGAGGAGCTTGTGCGTTCGAGTCCCGTCCGTCTCTGATGGGCCGATTTCCCACCACACCTACCACATGTAGGAGGAGAAGGGCGAGGAGGAGGAAGAGGAGGAGGAGGAGAAAGAAGAAGACCTCCCCATTACATATCCCTTCTCCCCCGTCCTACCTATGGTAGTGGTGATGGAAAATTGGCCAACCAGTCTTGAAGATTCACGACGCCCGACGCTTGCCGAGACGCGTGGCGACCCCGCTGGCGTCCTTGAAAATGGGAGACGTGCGGATGTGTCGGGCGTCCAACGGGCTGCTTGGTCTAGTGGCATGATTCTCGATCGGGGTGCGAGGTCCTGGGTTCAATTCCCGGAGCAGCCCTGTGTGCAATACCTCCCGTGCGACAGCCAGGGCGCTTGCGCTGCTGCGTCGCGCCCATCCTTGCTGGCAGGGCTTCCTTGGCGCAATTGGCTAGAGCGTGAGGCTGTGTAAACCTCCAGGTCGGGAATTCGAGCCTCCCAGGGATCGATATTTCTGAGCGCCTGTCCGCGCTCTGTCGCGAAGTCGGCGCGCGGGCGCCTGAGTATGGCGACCAAAAGCAAGGCTGCTAAGGGAAACGCGTCCTGAGGGAAACGGATCCTGGATCCCGACCAGCTCTTCACACTGAGTGGTTTTCTGGCAGACCCGGGGCACGTGGAAGGCTCTGGGTGAACCCGTTTTCCTCGGGACCCCTCTCCTTCATGGCGATAATCAATAGTTTCGCTTCCTTGGGAGGACCCCAAACTTTGTACATCTGCTTGTGAGTTGAGCCCCCCCTCGGTCGCCAGCGAACTCGTCGTGCTGCCCATTGAGGCGCGGCGGGGCTGGTGGCCCTCCGACTGCGCCTGCTGGACGTCCTCCGTCAGGTTCTCGATCACGGGTGCCATGACCTATCAGTGGGGGGGGGTCAAGAAATCGAGGATCGTGGCTCCGAGGAAACATGTTCAAAAAACAAGGTCTGTCTACCCTACTCCGGTGTTTGGGGGCCTCTGTTAGGCTCCTCGTCGTTACTCGGGGGCCGACGGGCGGGGGGAAAGCGGGTGGAGGACGGGAGGAGGAGGAGGAGGAGGAGGAGGAACAGGAGGAGGAGGAGGAGGAGGAGGAGGAGGAGGAGAAGGACGAGGAGGAGAAAGAGAAGAAAAGAAAAGGAAGGGAAGGAGGAGAAGGAGGCCGAAAAGGAGGACAGAAGGATGATACAAATGATAATGATGATGATGATGATGATGATGATGATGATGATGATGATGATGATGATGATGATGATGATGAGTAGGAGGAGGAGGCGGAGAAGGAGGAGGACGAGGACGAGGACGACAAGGCGGAGAAAGAGGATGCTACTGAGGATGAGGAAGAGGAGAAGGAGGAGGAGGAAAAGGCGGAGGAGGAGGAGGAGGAGACGGAGGAGGAGGAGAAGGAGGAGGAGGATTTAACATGAACCATGACTGTCAGCTCCAGGTCTGCCAGTGAAGAAAACCTTCGCGGTGAGTGAGCGGGACGGACCACACAGACACCAGGGCGCCAAGGACGGAGGAGCCACACGGCCCCTTGGCACATACACGAGCAGCTAGCCAGGAGCCACGACCTCCACACCTCCACGAGGTCTCGCAGCGCTCTGTGCCTTACCCACCGAGCCCACGTCTGGGGCCTGGCGGGGACTTCACTAGACGTCGCTGCGACCAGAGAAGAAACAGACTTGCTCCCCACAAGAAGGGTAGGAGGAGTGGGGGTGAGCGACGGTCGGGGCGTCCTGGCTTTCCAGGTCCACCCCCGTGCCCACGACTCCCACCGAGCTGTCCCTTCGCAACTGTCGCCAGGGGAGCTGGCCGTGCAACAGGGACAGCTGCCCAAAGGGGGAAAAAGGGAAGGGAAGGAACAACGTCGGCAGGAGGAACCCCAAGGCTCGGGTTCCAGGGCTGGCTGCGTAACCAGCACCCCCCGCCAGAGCGTATGCCCAAACCCGCCAGAGACCCCAGCCTGAGCCAGGGAGAAAGAGAGCCACCAGGGGCAGAGCATCGGTCGGGGCAGACTGGCAAAACAATCAACCCCCGTGCCAGAAGCCCGCAAGGTGAGCCCCACCACTATACGCAGTGAAAAAGACGGCCAGCCGCTGCAGGCTGACGGAACCCCTAGGCTCGGGCACTCATGCTGGAGGAGGAGAAGGAGGAGGAGGAGGAGGAGGACGACGGGAGGCTGGCTACTTGGTGGTGCAGCTGTCCTACCGGTTCGTCTTCGTCTCGGCGGAATGCAGAAAGAGGGTCGTGTGTTTTGCGTGTGTGCACAGACTTGTCTTCATCCTTGCAGGATGAGGAAGAGGAAAAGAAGAAACATGAGGAGGAGGAGGAGGAAAAGGAGGGAGAGGAGTAGCAGGAGGAGGGAGAGAAGGAGGAGGAGCAGGAGGAAGATGGGGAGGTGGAGGAGGAGGAGGAGGAGGAGGAAGAGGAGGGAGGAGGAGGAGGAGGAGGAGGAGAGGAGGAGGAGGAGGAGGAGGATGGGAGAAGGAGGAGGGAGGAGGAGGAGGAAGGAGGAGGAGGGAGGAGGAGGATGGGGAGGAGGAGGAGGAGGATGGGGGGAGGGGGGAGGCGAAGGAGAGGGGAGAAGGAGGAGGAGAAGGAGGAGGAGGAGGAGGCTCCTTGAGATGGACCCCAGAAAGGACCCCAGGGAAATGATGCCCACGAGGAGGAGCAGGAGTTTTTCCTCTGCAATCCCGGAGGGCAGGACCGATGCTAATGACTTAGCGGCCGCGACTGCGGCTTCGAGAAACATCTCGAGGGGCTGCTGCCCTTGCAGCAGCCTCCCGTGCCTGAATACGTGCCACGAGAGCGAGCATGCCTGGCGTCTGAGGCAGGGACTCCATCCCGCGTGAAGGCTGACGAACTTCGGGCGGCGGCGGCAGGGTCGCCGCGTACTGCATGTAGGCCGCTCCACGGCGGCTCGACACACTGAGACGAGAACCCTCCTCCCTATAATGAGGGTGCTGGCCTTCCAAAATACGGCGGAAGGTAGTGGGGGCCCCAGCAAGCTTGCGCAGCGGACAGTCACGGCCTAAAAGGTAGCACCTCTTGGCCGTGTAGGCCCCACAAGTCGTACAGAAATACATTGTAGACTCGACCTCGTTTTTGGTCACACGCGTATGCGCTAGCGTGTGGCCTTTACTGAGGTCGAGGACCCCCCGCCAGGTTTTGCTCGGACCAGGGCAGCCGATCATGGGTCTGGTGGTGGGGTCTTTCCAAAAAGTTAGACATCTCAAACATCGCGCTCGTCCTTCCTCTAGGGGTTCCCAAGCGTGCCAGCCCCCCGATTTGAGGAAGCGCGCGCGAGGGCCCGAAGGAGGGCGATCAAACCGTTCGACCTCGAAAACACACAAAACTTTGGCCAACACTCTGGCGGAAAACTTCAGCTTGACTAAATTCGAATCGATGGTGTCCGAATTCATGTTCGAGGGTCGGGGGTGGAGGGAGAGGGCGTGCTTGGCGAGCGAGTCTGCGAGACTGTTGCCAACGGCGATCCTCTTGTCCACGGGCGAGAGCGAATCGATCACCTCTTTCGACCGATGCGCTGGTGTGTGCTGCACAACAATGTCATGATCATGTTTTTCATGAAGCAGGGCCCCTCGTCGCATTCCTGCATACCGGTGCGTGGCCGACGTCTGGTGCGTCGGGCTGGAGAGGCAGAGCTTGACCACAGTCATGCAATCGCTGATTCGTGTACCCGTGTACTCTACATAGATGGGCAGGCAGGCCATGGCTTGGTGCTCGGCTGCCTGCGGCGTCTGGGGAAGAACGTCCCACACAGTTCCTTTAGCGTATGCCACAATAGTTTCACCTGGGCCCAAGAACACCCAGGCGTAGGAAGCACGACTAAGTTCGCGCACGGAGCGACGGAGACAGGATCCGAGGAGGAGGAGGAGGAGGAAGAGGAGGAGGAGGAGGAGGAGGAGGAGGAGGAGGAGGAGGAGGAGAAGGAGGATGGGGAGGAGGTGGGAGGAGGAGGAGGAGGAGGAGGATGGAGGAGAAGGAGGAGGACGAGGACGAGGAGGACGAGGAGGAGGAGGAGGAGGGGGAGGAGAAGGAGGAGGGAAAGGAGAAGAGACAGGAGGAGGAGAAGGAGAAGAAAGATGCGGAGGAGGAGGAGGAGGAGGAGGAGGAGGAGAAGGAAGAGAGGAAGACGAAGAGGAGGAGAAGGAGGAGAAGAAGGAAGATGATAAGGAGGAGGAGGAGCAGGAGCAAGAGGAAGAGAGGGGGGAGGAGGCGGAGGAGGAGGAGGACGAGGAGGGATAGTAGGATGCTGGTGATGACGAGGACGATGATGATGAGGCTGATGATGGTGGTGATGATGGTGATGATGGCGATGCTGATGATGATGATGATGCTGCTGATGATGATGATGATGATGATGATGATGATGATGATGCTGATGATGATGTTGATGATGATGATGATGCTGATGCTGATAATGATGATGATGATGATGAGGATGATGATATGATGATGATGAGGCTGATGATGCTGATGATGATGATGTTGATG